AGCAGATGTTTTCTCTGTATCTGTCTGGATACCTTGTGAAGAAACTACATGGCCTAGGAATTTGACCTGATTTTGGAAGAATATACATTTTGATGGCTTGAGCTTCAGATTTGCTTCTTGGAGTCTTGTGAAAATATTGGCTAAGCGCTGAAGGCCTTCGTCAAATGTTGAACTGTGAGAAATTATGTCATCCATATAGACTAAGCATTCAGTCCACTGTAGACCCTTTAGTACATTCTCCATCAGTCGCTCAAATGTAGACGGAGCATTAACCAGACCAAACGGCATGACTCGAAATTGGAAAAGTCCTAATGTTGTAACAAAGGCAGTCTTCTCTTTGTCCTTTTCAGCCATCTCGATTTGCCAGAAGCCTGAATTTAGGTCCATTGTTGAAAACCATTTGGCACCAGAAAGTGAATCAAGGCACTCGTCAATACGAGGCAACGGATAGGCGTCTTTCACAGTTTTCGCATTCAACTGTCTGTAGTCGACACATGCTCTAGTGGCTCCATTCGGTTTAGCTACTAAAACTAGATTTGATGCCCAGGCACTTGTGGATGGTTCAATTACACCTTTCTGTAACATGTTCTGTACTTCACTTCTTTCAATATCTCTTTTTGCTATAGGCTGTCTTCTTAGGGGCTGTCTCACAGGCTTTTCATTTTCTGTATCTATCCTGTGTTTTATTATACCAGTGCAGCCAAGATCATCTGGTGTCTTGGAAAATACATCTTTGTGCTGTAGGAGTAGTTTGAAGAAGGCATCTTTCTGTTCTCGGTCTAGATTTATCGAACTTCTTTCAAACATGTCCAGGAGATGTTCTGGTAAATCTTTTTCAGGAGTTGTATTTTCTTTGGTTCCCTGAAGAACTAAGACTCTCTGTGGTAATATACCGTGGTCCACTAAATATGTGTTCCTGCATTTACCAATTGTAGTTCTTGCTTGTAGTTTTACAGGTACTTCTCCAAAGTTTACAATGTTTACATGTATCTGATCAGACTGGGTATCTATCAAACCATCCAAAACTTGTATGTCATCGCTGAAGGTGTTAAGTTGCTCTAGGAACCCTATGTCTGTGAGGTCATCATTCTCGGTCAGAGCTACTGGAACCCAGATGCCACAATTTGCAGGTATGGAAACTGTTCTCTTGACCTCTACATTTGTACCCGTTTGATCATTGGCAATCCAGCATTGAACAGTTGTCATCTCAGTTTGTAATGTTTTTGTTTTGTAGTCGATGTGACGACAATACTGCAAGAGGAAGTCTTGTCCGAGTATAGCAGGAAGATCCATGTCAACCACCACCAAGTCAATTGCATGTGGAACATCTTCTAGATAAATGTAAAACTTTCCTATACCATGGACGGACAATGCGTGACCATTCAAATCTTGCACACATATGTTTGAGGGTTGAAGGACAGGACAGGACTCCTCTGGGATCTTCAGAAATTCAACATGTGACAAAAGTGATGCAGTAGAACCACTGTCTAATAAAAAATTAACATCCAACCCACCCAATGTTCCAGTAATATGGAAACCATTGTCTAAGAATTTTTTCTCTTTATTTAAAACCACCCCCCTTGAGTCATCAGGACTAGGTCTTGGCTTATCCACCAGCTGTCGACCTACAAGGCTGATGGTCTCCCATTTCCCTGTTGGTAGTTTTGTCGCCTTTGTACATCTTGATTTCTTCTCTGCCCAGGTCTTGGTTTGTCCAAATAAGGACAGTCTTTGATGAAATGTTTAGGGGAGTTGCAATGGAAACAGAGCTGAGGGGAAAGCTTCTTGTTAGCTCTTTCCAAACGGTCCAATCTGTTACTGATTTCTTGTATAATTGTAGATGAATCAGGGGCGTTGCATCTAGATGCAGCAGGGGATGTTAACTTATTGGTCACCGGCACAGCTTGGGGAACATTGAATTCCTCATCAATTGTTTTCACAGCTCTAGCATGTTGTTTCTTTTTGTCGTAGTTTTCACCAAGGATGGCTTCATATCTGTCGATTATGTCAGCGGCTTCTGAAATACTCTGACAGTCTTTATCAATACATCTGCACTTCATCTCGACACTTATCAGCTTGTAAAGGTGATTTAAGGCTAAAATTTCTTGAGCTTGCTCATCTAAATTGCAGTAAGCTTTCTGAACCATTTGTCGGATATCATCACCTAGAGCAGCAGCACTCTCGCCCTGTTGTCGTCTGCGTGATTCAAGCTTAGCTAACCATTTGTTCTGGTGTCTCGAATTTCCAAATCGCTGACTAAACTTGTTGGTAAGTGCATCAAAGGATCTTCTTTCAAGCAAGGATAAGCTCATGTAAAATGTCCTGGCTTGGCCTCTTAAGCTTGCAGCAAGGAACAGAACCTTATCTCTCTCTGTCCATAGGCTTAGCTCTGCACAGTCATTGAAATGTGAGATGTACTCTTCCCAGCTTACAGTACCATCATAGGACTCAGGTTTCATCGTGTAATTTACAGGTTGGATAGGGCTTGAAAATATCTGAGGAGCAGGTCTTCCAGAAAAACCACTGTAGGCACTAGGTGGACCATGATTGTCTTCATTTCCTCTGGGAGACGATCTTTCTAAAAGTACCTCATTGCTCGACTTCTGATGTTCGTCATACGTGTCACCTTGACCGCCATCGTCAAACATTACCGACTGAGGCACGCGTACTTCGACTTCATGATCGACCGACTCACCGGATTCTGACATCTTAATTTTCTTTATGTCGTCTTAAATAAGCAGTAATAATTCTAATGTTAAATCTATGTCATCTTATCTTCTAAGACTGTAATGTTGATGTTAAACTACCACACTGGACGGCTCATGGGCTCGTATCAGGACACTAAAATAATTTAGTATCCCACTTCTGACACCAGTTTGTAAGCTACCCCAGGGGTGGCTAGTATTTCTGGATCCTCAGCATCTATATATAGGCCATAGTTTATCTTCTAAATAAAGCATCTTTTGTCAGGATGTACCAGTAATTAAATTTGTTCTAATATGTTAAACAACCAGGCACCACTCTGTGTAGATTCTTTGTTGAATGATACTCAAGATGGTTGATCAGTCATACTCAGCATTTATTGTATGTGCAGCATCTCATAATCATAACAATACAATATGTAAACATCAATATAAAACAGCTGATTCTTCAGAAACACAAATTTAGGTCGTCCAGTGTGGTAGGAGATTTCTAACTAGGCTAAATATACGTAAATAACATTATAAGTATCTCACCGTTTTTGTTTTCTTCTTTTTAACTTTCAAATATAGCCGCCATACAACTAGCTGAAATCTGTCGTAACGTAGTACGCGCTTGCTTATATAACCTCCTATTCCCTGTCACATGACTCGAATTATCCAATAAAATTATGCCGTACGAACTATTAACCAATCAAAAGCTTGTACGGGAGGCTGAGTTCCCACACAAGTTCCCACACAGAACTACTTCTTCCACACAAGCTACCGTACAACATCGTAACTAGTTAAACTATGTAAAATTGACAAGTGGAAATATAACACATAAAATAAGCTTGACTAGACGAATTAATAAATTCCTTCAATGTTTATAAAACATCCCTAGACTGTACAATATATGCAGAACAATGTAGCGTAGGAATATCGTAACTACCGACACTAGCGTACACAAATGTAGTCCCGATAAAGCTGACTGATTATAAAGTGAATGCTAATAATAAATAACAACTTGTAGCTTCAAATCACAAAACAACTCAAACTAAAAGTAGAATACGATCCCATATTCATAACTTCAATAGAACAATGCATTACTAGTAAATACATATAGGTCACCAAACCGGAAATGACAATCCGAGTAAAGTATGATGGCTTCCAAAACATGAAATGTAAAATCCACCCTCTATTCCCCGATATTATAACTCCTACGATATTACATGAAGCGACAACAGGTAAATTATGATGATAATAGCTATTACTAAAATCGTATCTAGATAAGCTGACATATTATTTCCAATAAAATCCTAAACGAACAACTTTTCTGGCAGGCACATGTTGAACATAGATTTAACAAGAATGAGAACTGGACGACCGCATAATATTACGTTTACAAATCAAGTGATATATTACACTATTATGTCATACAAATTGCAAATTTTTAAAATTAATTTGAGGTTTATAAAGCAGTTACTTCCCTAATCTTGGTTATCATGACTTTTAATACTTGATTAACTTTTTAATTATGTTAATAAACAAGGTTTATGAAGTTCTGTGCAACTCTCTTTAGAACAAACACTACAAAGTTCAGGGAGAAAAACATGATTAATATAGAAGAAGTGGAAGTTGGCACATACAGGATATATTCAGGATTTGTTGAGATTATACAAAGGTGTATAACTCAGAAGCCTATGGATGACATTTTCAGTTTGGGGGGGTTAAGCAGCCATACATTTACTTTGGGGGCAGTATCAAAGTCTACCAAAAATTCCTTGACAAGCGAAAAACGAAAACAAAAACAAAAAAAGACGAAGAAAACAAAAAAAAGTTTTCTTTTGATGGGGGTGTAATCTATTATTTCTACAGTTATCTATAAATCTGCATTTGGGGGTGGGGGTGGGGGGTGCTCTGTGCCCCTTATTCCTATGGCCATGACTGGAAGTTTGAACTTTTAACCCCCAAACATGCTGAATACTGAACAGTTGGCTCAGCTTTGGTACATGCATGTATAACTTTTATCTCAGATGCTTTTATTATATTTTGTACATTAATTCACAGGGACTTGCTCCTGGCGTGTAAAAAAAAATCATATAGTTTAGTATATCGTTTTTTTAATAAATATTTTTTACACGCCAGGAGCAAGTCCCTGTGATTAATTCTGATGAAAAATTAAATGGAACATTGAATTATAAAATATAGTTCAGTCTCGGGTAACTCAGATAATGTTAAATTCACAACATAAACATTTACATTCGGGAACATATGGATACATGTGCGTGTTGCATCATCTTTACAAAACATGTTTTTTACCTGTTCTTTCACAGCAAGCCTCAGGGGTGCCAGGATTTCCTCCGTCTCGTGATCCATTGTGCCTGTCTCTATCCCAAAATTTTGAGAAATAGGTCTCCGATTTACAGAGAGAAAGCTACAACACTGAACCGTCTGTTTTCGCCGAAGAAATAGTGGTCGTGGCCAAAACAACCTCAAAAGATGTCTCATAAGAGATGTTATGGATGATTGACAGCCCGGTGCCACGCTTCCGTCAGTAAAAGTGAAAATGAATTTCAGATGTTCGAGCCCGATAAAAATTATAAAATAAAATGTATGCAATTGTCATATATGATTATAGGATGTCGATTTCTTGATTTCATAACGAAAAACAAGAAAAGAACTGAATAAAATTATATGAGTTGTACATATAACGCATGCATATATGTATGACAGACATTTTAAAAAGAAATGCTTGGATCGTGCTCGTTATACTATTATTTCCAAATCCAAGGTGGCTGCGCCCTTTAATAGAAAATGTGATGAAACCTTCAGAAACCGTATCATCCAAAGTAAATTAAGATTAAACTTCAGGAAGAATTATGATGATTTGTAGGAGATTATCTTACTCGATAAATCGCGCGCTCTTTCAAAACATTAGACGGAGGACATCGTCATCTTTCAGTCGGCCAAATCACCAATGGGTAAAACCGAAAGTAGTCCTGGGTATCGAAACAAGCTGTGATGACACAGGTGCAGCAGTCGTTGACACGGATGGCCAAATCCTTGGAGAGGCTTTGTATTCCCAAACTAAAATACACATAGAGTAAGCTGATTTAGTTTGGTCATATGTTACATTGATGCATTCTGCCTTTTCAAAACTGTCCCCTATTTGGAATTGACAATTCAAAATTATGGCAAGGCCATAGGTCTTAATTGAAAATAAGTGTTAGAATGCTTAGAAAAATTACTTGCAAGACAAGAAAGCTGAATTATTAACGTTTTTCTAGAAGAAAATGACTTGTCTGTCACATTTTCCTTGTTCTTTTTATGCGCCCGGATCGATAGATCCGGGGGCATATATTGTTTTTGTCCTATCTGTCTGTTTGCCTGTCTGTTGTCAACTTTAACCCTTCACCATAACTTTTGAATAGTGAGAGATAGAGACTTCATATTTGGTATGCATACTCCACAAATTAAGCTCTTTCAAATGACACTAAGGTGACCTTGTGACCTTGACTGTGACCTTAATGCTAAAAATAGATTTTTTGAACTTTCACCATAACTTTTGAATCATAGAAGATATAGACTTCATATTTGAGGTGCATACTCCACTAATTGAGTTCTTTCAAATGACACCAAGGTCAATTACCTTGTGACTTTGACTGTGACTTTAATGCTAAAAGTAGCTTTTTCGAACTTTGTTGCCACTGGGCACATAGTGTTTCACAAACACATCTTGTTCAGAATTTTTTTTAAAAGTTACTTTAAACTAAATGATATATTAAATTTGCTTTGACATTTATACTGAAGAGTATAAGCAAGGAAATGATTTCCACAAATCTATTCTATACTTCTAACAAAAATGGAAAAAAGAAAAAAATCATCCTATTTTTAAAAGATAGAGTGCATCAAAGGTATTATTTTTCATCCTTGCTTTTTCTTGGGTGAGTCAGTACATTTCATGTATAGATTAATATATTTATAATATAACTATGATAACATTTTAGTCTTGAAATATCTAAAAATAGAAAGTTATTACAAGTTAGTAATTGTTATTATTATACATTGCTATTACAGTTATGGGGGAATTAATCCTCGTACAGCCCAGTCCCTACATAGAGAGCAGATAGAAAATGTGGTGAATACGGCCTTAAAAAGATCAGGAAAATCATTGCAGGTTTCTTTAATGTATAGCAAATTTTATATCAAATAAGAGTTGACACTGTTGATATGAGTTGAAAAAAGCAATATTGTAATTAATTTTCCACATCATTTTAATGCTCATTCAAAAAATCATGAAAATAGAGATATTTACATTAGCATGTTTTATTAGTAAAAAGTTTATCTGCAAGTGAAGTATTATGGTATTTGAGACATCAATGATTTAGATACCAAACCAACTGCATATTCACATAAACATCAACAGATTTCTGGTATTAAGTCCAAATGCATCATTTTTGTCATGGTTTCTATATTCCAGGAATTGGATGCAGTAGCCGTCACTGTAGAACCAGGTTTGTCCATCTGTCTGGGGGTCGGAGTGGGTTATGCCAAGGAACTAGTGGCACAGAGTGGGTAAGTTACTGAAAATCTTATATTAATCTAGAGAAAAACTTACAGAGTGGGTAGGTTCCAGGGCTCGACATTAACACTTGTCCGCTTGTCCGGTACCAATGAAAAAAAAATATGGACAAGTGAATATTGCTGGGTACTTGTTCGATTGGACAAGTTATTTTTTATGTAAAGAAGTCTTCAAATAATAATAATATTAAAAAAAACAACGATTGAATTAAGTTTATTTGTGAATTAAGTTTATCGAATAAAAAAGAAAACATTACATAAACCCGAATTTCGATCCCGATATCAATCACTATTTAAGTTCACACTTGATCGGGATCGATGTTCACTAATTGCAGCAATACTTTTGCATGGCGTGGATCTTACGAAATTTGCGGGTTTGGAATATATTTGATTGATATTACAGAATTTATGTTGTTGTCAGGACAGGAAATCTAGATAAAATTTTGTTTTATAAGTGTTTGTCTTATTTATCCATAACAACACTAATTAATCAAGCATGTATAATTTTTTTTAATTTTAGTAATTGTTTTCAAGATATCAATTGAAAAATTTTTGGACAAGTGAAGTTGAAGTTCGGACAAGTAAATATCTTGGACACTTGTCCGAATGGACAAGTAGGAACTAAAGTTAATGTCGAGCCCTGGGTTCCTGAAAGTCCAAAACATCTTTTAAAAAAAAAATTGCAAAATAGGTCTCTGAAAATCCAAAATTTTATTTATGAATATTTTTAAGAACATTTCAAATGGAGATTAATTTTGTGCTCACTCAGCAATAATAAATTTGTAAAGAATAACTAAAGACATTATAATTTTCATTTTATAGGAAGTACGGATTAGTTACACATTCTGTCTTCAATTATTAAGTTATTGAAGACTTTCATGCTTTATTCTTTAGGAATTATGATTATTTTTGGTCTTTTCTTCTGACAGGTTACCAATGATCCCCATACATCACATGCAGGCTCACGCTTTAACTGCTAGAATGTTAGAAAAGTGAGTTTGATTATTGTACAGGTACATATTTTTAAGAAGATAAATTTTGTCTTTAATGACAAGAATTTCAATGCTTCTTTATATGGATTCTTCAGTTTTACATATACTTACAGAAAAAATTTTTGAGTCTCAACATGCTCAAATGAGGGTGAAATTTAAATGCTTATTTAAATGGATTCTTAAGTTGTTAAACACAAAATTTTAAATGTGAGAGTTTGAAATTTTTCATTTTCAGCTCAGTCAGTGTTTCTTTAACTGTAATGATTTTTGTGACAGAATTGAGTTTCCTTTCCTGGTATTACTGATAAGTGGTGGACACAGCATTCTCACTGTAGCACAAGATGTCAGCCAGTTTCTCTTGATTGGGAATGGCCTTGACACATCGCCGGGTGATTGTCTGGAAAAGGTACTCGCATTCAGGAGTTGTAGGGGCGGCCAACCCGCCCCCCAATAATTTTGTATAAAAAATAGAAATATTAATTTTCTTTTTGAAATTAATTTTTGTGATAGCAATATCTGCTTGTTGGAGAGGTCAGTATAACGGTACTATGTGGTCAGTGGAGCATCAGTCAACCCCACCTTTTTGATCCAAAGTGCCTTCCCAATGTCAAATACTTGCCAACAGCCCTGGCCTGGCTTTGACAAGAATTAATCAAATGTTATCTGTCTTATGGAGAAAATTTAATTGGTTAGATAACTAAGAACTGTTTCTTTTTCACTTGTTATTTTTTATAGATACGGGATTTTTTTTACTACTAAACTAAAAGAAAGAATGTTTTGCATGTACATGTACATGATTTTAATTGATACAAGCTGTAAGAAAAGAAATTTAAATCTAGACAAGTGCTATTCCATTTAACCCATACCAATGAACTTTATGATACCAAGAGTCATCAAAACAATTTTTAGGTCACCTGAGTCACTCAGGTGACCTATTGCTATCTGTTTTTGTCCGTCGTCGTACGTCGTTCGTCGTCAATCGGTCGTAAACTTTTGAACGTTTTCAGCTTCTTCTCTGCAACCACTGAACCAATTTCAACCAAATTTAGCACAAAGCATCTATGGGTGAAGGGGAACAAAAATTGTGAATTTCATGATCCCTGCCCCCCTGGGGCCTGGGGGGGGTGGGGCCAAAACCACTAAAATTAATGCAATCTTTAAAAATCTTCTTCTTTACTCCTGGACATCAAGCAGTCAAACTGTTTGCATGATTGTAATCAGCATTGAGTCCTTTACTAAAATTGTGAAATTCATGGCCCTGGGGTCAGGGGTTCTTGTGCTAGGGCGGAGCTAAATAAGTATATAGTGAAAATGCATTATTTCTTTGAAAATCTTCTTCTCTGCTCCTGAATATTAAATAAACTAACTAAGTACATTGTTATGATGAGCAAGAGTGCCTCTACCAAAATTGTGAATTTTATGGCCCCAGGGTCAGGGGTTCTGGTGTCAGGGTGGGGCTCTATTGATTATATAGAGAAAAATACATGAATTTCTTTGAAAATCTTCTTCTCTGCTCCTGGGTATGAAATAAACTAACTAAGTACATAGTTATGATGAGCAAGAGTGCCTCTACCAAAATTGTGAATTTTATGGCCCCAGGGTCAGGGTTCTGGTGTCAGGGCGGGGCTCTATTGATTATATAGAGAAAATACATGAATTCTTTGAAAATCTTCTTCTTTACTCTTGGGTATTAAATAAACTAACTAAGTACATAGTTATAATAAGCAAGAGTGCCTCTACCAAAATTGTGAATTTTATGGCCCCAGGGTTAGGGGTTCTGGTGTCAGGGCGGGGCTCTATTGATTATATAGTGAAAATACATGAATTCTTTGAAAATCTTCTCTGCTCCTAGATTTTATATAATTTAACTAAATACATAGTAATGATGAGCAAGAGTGCCTCGACCAAAATTGTGAATTTTATGGCCCCAGGGTCAGGGGTTCTGGTGTTAGGGTGGGGCTCTTTTGATTATATAGTGAAAATACATGAATTCTTTGAAAATCTTCTTCTCTGCTCCTAGGTTTTAAATAAACTAACTAAGTACATAATTTTGATGAGCAAGAGTGCCTCTACCAAAATTGTGAATTTTGTAGCCCCGGGATCAGGTATTCTGGTGTTAGGGCGGGGCTGTATTGATTATACATGTATAGAGAAAAAACATTAAATCTTTGAATATTTTCTTCTTTGCTCCTAGGTTTTAAGCAGATGAACTACCTATATAGTTATGAGCAATCCCTAATCTTCAAGAATTGTAAATTTCAAGGCCCCAGGGTCAGTTGTACCATAGAGGGGGGGGGGGAGCTATACTTTATATACTGAAAATGAATGAATTGTTTGAAATGTGCTCCTTGGTATTAATCAAATATTTTTGAAAAGCAAGGATGCCTTTCCAAAAATAGTGCAATGTGTGGATCTAGGCCTAAGAGTCAAGGGTTCATGTGTGGTAGGGGCACTACTTATTATTGCTGAATATTACTGATTAGTTGAAATGCATTTTTGTTCCCCTACCCTGCCTATGGGTATAAAGTAACCAAACTAAGGAACTGCTAAGTGTATAGTTATGATGACCAAATTGTAAATGCTATAGCATCTGGCTTAAAACATGGATCAAATTCAATCAATGGAAAGTTGTTGAATAATGCTCAGGTGACCTATAAGGCCCATGGGCCTCTTGTTTATGAAAAATATGCAAGTTTTGAAGCATATTGTTTATTTTGATTTTACAGAGAAAAAAAGGGCATGCAAGATCGATTTGGAACACAATACATGTATTTTTGATAATAAATAGTTATCTGCAATATGGCGCAAAACATGGTTACATGTCTTGTAAAGTGTTAGGATAACATATCTTAAAAATATTTTTCTCTCGTTATGAAATGTGTACTTTAAACCGTTCTCATTTTGGATGTTTTCAGGTTGCTAGGAAACTGAATTTAAAGTCTCTCCTGCAATGTGAGAATCTGAATGGGGGTGCTGCAGTAGAGCTCCTGGCAAGGGGAGGCGACCCCAGTAAGGTTCCCTTTTCTGTTGCCTTGCTTAAACAACCCAGCTGTAATTTCTCCTTTTCTGGACTCCGAACTCAAGCAGAGTATATGATTGAAGATCAGCAAAAACTGGAAGGTCTGTACCACAAAACCTGTCAAGTCTGTTTTGATTGTAGACAATTTGTAGGTTTAATTGTTATTGTGGAAATTAATGTGTTAAGGCTATAAAAATTTACATGATTATATAATAATACTACAAAAAAATATTTATTTAATATTTCCCCTTATTCCATTGTCTTCTGCTTTATATGTTTCTTGATGCTAGTGCATGATATACTGTAGAAGTACTTTTTTCCGCGTGATATTAATTTACGCTATGTACGCAGTCACAAATTGTCCGCGGAAAATTTTCTCATCGGTACTCAAAATACTTGTAAGGAATATAGTGAGAGTCTAAGAAATCCGTGTAATTTTCTACCGGCGGATTCAAGAGAAATCTAGATTCCGCAGAATTATGACCCCGTGGAAAATAGTACGTTTACAGTAATCCAGACCTGTATGGTTTAACCTTTTTATCTTAAAACCAATGGGACCACACTAAAAGACTTACAGATATCAAAGATTCAAGATATCCATGGTAGAACAGTTAAAGAATAAGTGGATTGAACCTCCAAATAAGTTTGAAATACCAGTATCCATGATAATCAAGATATCAGTGTTTGAGACTCAAACACTGATATCTTAACTGAATGCTGTAAATCATATTTTATTCCCGAGAACTTAATTTTCACGTAATTTTGCAAGACAATGAGCAATTGAAAATTCTTGCATATTAAAGTACTGTAAACGTATTACATTTGGCTGTGTATTCTTTTTAGCGCCTTTCCCAGAAAGCAGCCTCCGCTAAACCAAGGACATCGCTAAATGCTTTGTGTATAAAGGTTTATTAACGCACATTCAAAAAGCGCTAAATCAAATCTACGCCAACTTGTTGAAAATTCCAATTTCCGCCAAATATAATACATTTACAGTATTCCTTACGATCATATAGAGGAATAACAATTCATGAAAATTACTTATTGCTTTATAAAAAGTCAATGACTATCTCGCAAAAGTAAGGTGCCGTGAAAATTTAGTGATATACAGTACATGTATGCCATAAGTTCAATTGTATTTAGTCACCTACTGATGTGTATTTTACAGGAATCTCAGAGGATGGAGTGATCAGTGGTCTGTCAGATTTCTGTGCTTCCTTGCAGTACTGTATTGCCTTCCAAATCTGTCGCAGACTTCAAAGGGCCTTTGCCTATTGCCAAATGAAAGATTTATTGCCAAGTAATCCCACATTGGTAAGTTTCTTGTGGAGTACTGTACACATTTCTGAAAATTGAATGTTTTTATCATCTTTAAAAAAGATTGATTGACAAATGGAACAGGGAATTGAGAAATGCATTGGTCCAGAATCACTTGTTAAGTATCCTAATAGAGCTTTCTGGCCAACCCTAATCACTTGTTTATTGTCTTTGATGACATAATTATCTGGCTACTTGTGAACTAATCTGTCTGACCACTCCTTGCACATTCAAGGTCTTTGCCAACCCCAACTCCCCTCACCCCATCCCCCACCCTCGACACCAGTCCAGGCACCAGACCATAAACTGAGAACAAACTTAAGTCAAAATTTAGATTTTTAATATCTTGGATTTTATTTAATGCATTTGTTTAAAAATTCGCAATGTTGTGTAACATTTTAATTCAAACATATAATGAAAATTTTGTTTGATTATCAAAATTATTTCGTAAGTTATATTGGTTTGAAAGTTTGACTTAAGTCTATTCTCAATTTATGGTCTTGGAGCCAGGCTTTATCCAGGTCCCGGGATCATGAAACATCATAAGCTAAGTCAAAATCTTTATTTTATTATAAAATGTTGTAAGGTGGAGAAGACCAAGATTAAAATATTTTTTAATCTTGCTTCTCAAAAGAGTTGTTAACTGCAAATTTCCAATTAAATTCCTCAATTAATGAATATTTTATAGGTGATAAAAAATTTGACTTAAGTCTAAGTTTGTTTCATGATCCTGGGGCCTGGCAGTTGATTCAACATGACATGGCACAGAATGTTACAGGGAAGGATAAAATGGGATGATCCAGACCCCCTAAATTCTAAACATGCTGTATTAACTGAGTTTCAATATCTTGCCTTCAGAAATCAAAGTGTAACAGAGTTTTAAAAAAATAGTGGCTATGCATTGTATATTGTGAGGCCATGCTCCTACTAGCACTATCTAGTGGTTTAACCCTGAGGCTCACTTGGTAGATGATTGGATTTTAAATGTGAGGGTTGTAGGTTCGACTCATAGTGTGGACACCCCCTAGCTTCTCTGTCATCTTGATACCCAACTACAAAACCTGGCACTCTTAAGTGGAGTTTATGGAGTCTTGTGTGTGAGATATCTCAGGGATAAGAAATCTCAAGAAAGAGAAGGGGGAAGTATAACAGAATTTTTAAAAAAAGTGGCTATGCAGTGCACAGGCGCCTGACGTTACTTATTTTTCTTTTAATAAAAAAAAATATACACATACCTAATAATTAGGTATTTGTATATTTTTTTTATTAAAAGAAAAATAAGTAACATCAGGTGCTTGTGGGTTGTAGGTTCAAGCCATGGTGTGGACTCCCCTTGGCTAATCGGTCATAAATGTCTGCCTGAAAAACAATACACCCATGAAATATAATGGAAATATTTTCTTTTTGGTCAGGTAGTATCAGGGGGTGTGGCCAGTAACCAGTACATAAGACAGTGTCTACAGCAGGTGTGTGGGGAAAATTCTGCCAGACTAATCTGTCCCCCTCCTAAACTCTGTACAGACAATGGCATCATGATCGCATGGTGAGTTGATGGGAATAAATAAACAGTGTGTATATTATATTAATAGACTGTAATGTATAAGGACATTATATTTTAAAGAAATATATAACAGTATTTAACATGTTTAAAGGTAAAAAAGTTAACTGGGAAATGAACTTTGTTAATCTTATGATCAAATCCATGAAGCCACTTATTGCACAAAAACATATAACATAAAGAATCACTGTTTTGTTTGTTGGGTATGCCAGTGCATCAACAATAGATGGAGACATGGGATAAATTATGTGTTAAGCCTGTTTTGTATAGATTATCCCTGCACATTTCTAACTACCATTGATGCCCTGACATAACCAACAAACAAGACTGTGAATCCTTGAAAATGTGAATTCTGCTAAAATAAGTGTACATGCAATCATACCATTAGATATCTAATGTTTGACCATGGTTAAAAACAGTTTGGAACTTTTTGGATTTTCTTTTCAGGAATGGGGTTGAGAAACTCAAAGTTGGACAAGGGATTTCAAAAGATCCACAGTCTGAGCCATACAGAGCTAGGTAAAGTTACTGGACAATTCTTGTGAATGTTCTTTACAAAAAATATGGGGATAATGAACAGTTTTCAAGCTCAAAAGTACATTCAAACAATACAAAAATCAGGAGCAGAGCAAACACAGATGTCTAAAACATCAGAGGTGGGATCAGGTGCCATAGAGGAGTGAGCATCCCCCTATCGACTGCTCATACCTATTCTTTGCTGCTTGTTACAATTGGCAAATACATGTATATTTAACCCCTTTCCCCGCAGTCACACATTTTAATGCATACTCCATTTCTTATTTCTAACTCAAAATCATGCATAAACCGTTTCCCCGCAATCACACATTTTTCACACACTTTCAAAAGTACATTTAATCTTCAATTTAATTTCAATTCCGTTCTTTTTTATACTCGCATAAATCTCATAAAATAAGAAAAGTTATAATCTTGTTAAAATATTACATCATAATATTATTTAATCTAAACTTTAGAAAAACTTGTAACGCGCTATAAAGTGCTTGCGGGGAAAAGGTAACGTCCTATTTCTATGATGAGAACATTAAGTGTATGTTGCTTAACATTTCAGTAAGTTGTAAATCAGTTAAGTAGAGAAAACATCACTGCATCTACATGTTACATATAGTGCAGAATTGAGAAGCTTTTGCCTGTCTGCTTTACAAATTCTGTTGTTAAAAACAGCAAGTTTACAAACTTTGATCATGCAAGCAAATATTTTGTCAAAGAGTTGTTATATCAGTTTTCATGGGTGAAAAAAATGGAAACCTCAAGTTCATACCGGTATCATGTTTCCTAGTGGTTTCCGCAGAAGATGCCAGGTTATTCCGTCAGGTTTTCGTGGCACAGAATCTACTATGCTCCGATTCCATTAGGTATCCCAAACCACAGTAATCTCGGTGAACCTGAGGTTTCCCAAGCCTCCATATAGTTTCCCTTAAAGGTACACTTGAAGATTCCATTGGTTTCCATAATCAGGAAACAAAATACATGTATAAGACAATTCCTGTGCTTGTAAAATGATCTTTCAACTATAGGCAACAAAATTAACTGTTTTAAAAAATGCCCAATCTGAAGGACTTTTAACATGTATAAATGAATTATTTTTCTCATAATGTATCGACGTGAGATTTATATATTAGATGTATTTACAAAGCACAATTATGCAGAAAGTGTTAAATTGTTGAAAAGTCAGTTTTCACCAAATATCCTACACAATTACATGAAGGACTCTGTAAAATCAGTATGTTAACTTAATAGTTACAAAACAATGTTTATTCTCTATTGCAGGAGCCTGATAGGAGAAGACATAACAGATGACGTGACGAGACTTGGACTGAAAATTCCTCCCCTCAAACTGAAGATTCAGCCATAACTTTGTAGAACTAGTCGTCTTGTTTTCTTATTGGTTAGGAAGAAAATGTGTGAATCCAGGCTTCAGTTAAACTTTTCTTCCCAACATGAAGTTACATCCGATCAAGGATGAAGGACCCTCTGAAATTTACATAAACATGTCAGGAAAAAAAAAAAAAAAATGAAAATAATGTTCTCTTCTTTTAAAAAAAAAATGCCAGATTTTGCTTTTAGGGTGCATTACAATGCCAGAAAACATTCAGTTACTGTGATTACTGTGTCATTTGTATAATAGTATTCATTTAATAAAGCAACAAAATTGTATGCATTGCATTTGTGTTTAACTTGTGAGATGTGAGATGCAGGCATCAGTGTTTCACAAAACATCCGTTTATTTTTGCTCAGTCTATTGGGATGTTAGTTTGTATGTTGTTTAATGTCCCTCTTCAAAATTTTTCATTCATATGGAGATGCCACCACCTGCTGGTGGAGAGCTGCAAATTTTGTCGTATACTCTGCATTTACAGCCATTTAGCAGTAAAGGATCTTTTTCATGCTAGCACCTACTGCAACATAGGACCTCAGTTTATACGGTCTTGAAAGACCAGTCTCCACGTCCCACAGTGGGATTCGAATCCGTGACGTAATTAACACCTTACTCCGCTACTCTAGAGCAGACGTTCTAACCACTGTGCCATGCAGGTGACCCATTGGGATGTATCCTAAATATATCTGCTAGTTTAAATATGGATACAAAAGGTTTAAGTCAAAACAGGTTTATTCCCTCTGCTTGCATCTAGCGCCAAAAACTCTTAAAAGCGATAGTCTGCACACTCAAGTCAAAAAGTATTGCAAATTAATGCTTAGTGTTGCATCAAAAGGAGTCTTCTTGTACAGTGTATATCATAAGGCCTGCATGTTATATTGACAATGGTCAATCTAAATAGGCTACAGCCAATACAGATCGGTGAAATGGATCATAAACTGACCCTCAGCCACTAAAGTTCATTCTTTAGTCCCACTGTCTCAGGCTATGGTGACGAATTTGCTCATTAAACATGTAGCTCTCCTCGAGAGAGATTTGCTTTGGCCTTGGTTTTATGACAATGTTGCAGTACATGTAAATATACAATGCATTTACTGTCACACAATTTAACATTGGAAATTATTTATACTGTACATCATATTTTACCACTGCAGTAATTTTTTTTTTCCTTTTGGTACTTTTTCCATTGAAGTAAAACACATAACACTGTAAAACCAATTAAAATTACAAAAGATAACATTTTTATTTTTTCTCTTTTTTTTTTTTTTAAACAATTTTCACAATTTGAAAACTTCACATTTCTAACAAGCAAAATATAAAGAAAAAATATCCCTTCAAGTTGATGAAGTTAAAGCTTGCAACTGCTTAAATGATTTGTCTATCTCTCACTTTTTTAATTTCGTGTACATACTTTTCATTCATGACATTAAAAAAATAAGAAATTTAGTAAAATATAAATATATTTGACAGGCCAATTAATTTTTTTTTCAATCAATGCTCTTTAACCTTTCGCTTAGATTCAAGTCAAAAATTACAAAATAAATGGACACATTACATTTTAAAGAGAATCAGCAAGCTTCAAAAAATCTTTGTAGGAGGGATGAAATATTTGCCTTTGACCTTTTGAAAAATCACACAGAATTTATTATATACATGTAATGCAAAATATTTTAAACACTGTTGAATTACCATGCCTGAAAATTCAAGTACGCATGTAAACAATACATGTAATATTTCCAGTACGGTGGCATTTCCTTTCTAAAATTTCCAAAAAACTTTAATGTCATTAGAATAATATTACAAATGGTCCTGTACATGTTACTACAATGCAATTAAATAAAAGCATGGACAAATATTCAGTTCACTACTTCCATGTATTTTGAAAATTTTACAAGTTTTGGTCAATCAATGACTTATTTGCATCAAGATATTCTATTTTCTACCATTCCTTACTTTAATCTCATTTTTTTTTCTAATCAAAGAACAAATTCATAAATAAATTAACTTTTTATAAATAAGTATAAATATTTTTTCATTGAAACTCCTACCCCCCCCCCAAAAAATAAGCAGATATAGAACAAACTTTTTCTGCATGGGATTATTTTTGCTATGTAGTGCCTGCAGAAATATGTTGCAAAAAAATCAAAATAATTAAAGGAATTTATTGGAGGTTCCAAGAAATCTTTCTTATTTTCTAACTGCATATTATCAAAAAATTGATTCCGAAAAATAATGACCTTGTGGGAAAAAAGTACTTTATGTTTAGAGTATGCAAGACTTTCATCAATATTGTGATAGGAATTGAAAAGAAATTGGGTTTGTTCTCAAGTCTTGTGTTGTCAAATACTAAATTTTACACGAACATGAAACACAAAGAAAAAACAAATATAGGTATGGATAATGCGTACAATATTTTTAAATGCATTGCCAAAAAGTATGGATGTTAACTCTACTGCAAGTACAGATTTACTGACCCTTTCTTTGCAATTCTCTTAAAAAAAAGCTATTTTGACACAGCATCTTATTAGGACAAATGCTTCATGTATATTGGGTTGCAACTATAAATTCACAATAAAATGTAGGGGGGTTAACTTTTACAAGAAAATCTGGCAACACTACAAAATTTTGTCTTTAGGTCTATGGAATATTGCTAGAAAGAACAAAAATTTGACTACAATCATAAAATCAATCATATGATAGTCTTTACATTTAATGATAGAAATATATCTTAATGACTTTTACAATAGAACCACCTTTCTTCAATACAAAACATATAAGGCAAAAAATAAGCAAAATTCGACATCTTTCAACTGCTGTATGTCTTGTTGAAAAAAAAATTCTTTCTACAAATGTAAACATTTTGTGTATGACCCTAATTTGTTCCTTAACCCAAGCAGAGAGAGAAATAAAGAATACTGAAACATTATGACCAGTTATACACACCTGGGACAAAGTGTAAAAAAAAAAAAATGTGTCTGGACGGATCGTTCAAAGTATGGATGAAGTGGTATAGAAGTGAAACATGATCATGAAACTTGAGTGAAGGATCGTTATGGACGGAGGTGTGAAAATACCTGATGCTTGGCTTAATCGCCCATTTTGTCAGTTTTCGCTTCCCACATTAAAGAAAATGTGAGATTCAATTCATATCAGACTCACTGAAACAAATTTCCTCGAAATTTTAAAGGAATTCAGATGAGCACTTCTGCTGCTTTTACAAATTCTTAGTTAAATTCTGGAAAACTTAATGGAATAAGTAAAATTGTGAAAAGACAGAAAGGTTCCAATTTAAAAACTGTCAATAAAGATAGAGAGGTTCTGATAAAAATTGAGTTTGTATAGAACTGTTCTGTTTTTTACATGTAGATATCTTCTACTATTGATCAAGTTATCAATTTTATGCACAAAAAAAACCTACTCAACCACCATTGTACATGTACAAATATTCAATGAATAAATCTATGCTAAGATATCTGAAAGATATCTCACTCATAAAAAGTGACACATTTAAAACTAAACTGGAAAAAATAAAGGACAAGTACATTTCATTTTCAGTAAGAAAACCATCAAATAAGGTTATGCAGCACAACATTGAAACATGAATATAAAAATACATATTTTATGAAATATCATGAGGAAAAATTTCGTTAGATTAGTGATACATGTAAATGAGGTATTTCTTTTTCTCACTAAATGAATATTTTCCCATAGACTTAATGCCATTTAAATGGAGATGCCACATTTGTTTAGATTTCATATTTTAGCACAAAAAAAAATTCACACATGCATTTAAAGAATCAAAATGATCTAAAAATGACTTATCATTGATTTAAATATCAAGACATATGGAATGTTTTTACATCTTTGTGTAGTCTCAAATAAGATTTCAATAGAGTCTGCCAAAATAAGAAAAAAAATCTTGCAACTTTACAGTAGTATTTTCTGAAAATTGTCTGGCAAGCTAATTACTAAGCAAAAATAATGAAAATCTAAACTTTAACACAACTTACAGGAAACAGATTCCGACAATTCAACAGTCAAACCTAAATATTTGCTAAGTGATAATACATGTACTTGATAATGTTAACAATAAAGATAGAATTTAAACATGTATTTTAAACACATTTACATGTAACTGCATGCAACTAAGAGCCCCAAAACAGAGCAAAATGTCAACGGAATAATAAAATTCCAACTACACATAACTACAAAATTAGCACAACTGATGAAAAAAATCCTCAGTTTAGAGATTCTAGTAATTAAAAAAATTAGTACAACCTCTTAAAAAATAACCAAATAAATACTATTTTATTGAATTACTCAAAATACTAACTGAATGGAAGAAAAAACCAATAATATTCAAAAGCAAAATTACACAAAGGAAAAAAAATAACAATAGATAGATCTCTCATGGGGAGATAACTCTAATTAGTAATTGGAGCAGGAGTGGGTTGTGTCCCTTGACTTGTGTACATGTTTCTAAGGGGACAGAAAGCAGAGTCGATGCTAGGTTTGAAGACATATTGACTTGTCTTGATTGGACACGACATTAGTGGACCTGACATTAGTGGGACTTTTATGGACGGCTGACTTGATTTCCTGAAAAAAAATTAGAAGGCATGCCAATGCTTGTACATGTAAGGTACATTGCCCCTTTCCTTAAAGAGCCATGTTTTCATTTAAAATATAAAGACACATGTATTGGCAGTAAAGAGTATCTCTTAAAGGATTAAAAGGGGTATTATTCCTATATAAAGTTGTCTATTTAAATAATCATTTCTGTCAATTTTTCTTATAATGACAGTGAAAATTGAAGTTGATGGCTACAACAATTGTATTTGTAACTTTTGATATAAAAAATGTCCCAACAAACCAACCTGTAAAATTTTATCAATCCATAAAAACTGACCCCTTCAAATTTTAATGATTCCACAGTATTCCCAACTGTATGTAAAGAAAAAGCAATTTGCAAAATCAGAAGTAGTCTTAGTCAAAAGTTGTGTTTGTAAAGAGAGACTCTGGTTTACAGGTTGTCTTTGACTTAATTGAAATCTTCAAAGATGACTTAAATCCCCCTCCTACAGCTTTCTTGGACGTATTTGTTTTCTTCAAACATGACTTTATTTTCACCCCCATCTGGTACTGTATTGGACTTGCTTGTCTTCTTCATGCATGACTATAATCCCTCCCTACCCCCACCCCCTCTAGCTATCTCTGACTTACTTGCATGACTCTTATCCCCCCGTTACCCCCACCCCCTCTAGCTATTTCTGACTTACTTGTCCTCTTTAGACATGACTACAATTTCACCCCATCCTGTGCCGTCTTGGACTTGCTTATCCCCTTTAAACATGACTATAAGTTAGGACCTTTATAAATGATTGAATAAATGAATGAAACATTACACAAGGCGTTAATTAAAACTGACTTTGATATATACCGATACCAGACAGACCAATAAAGCGTAAATCTAACCAGTCAACAGAATCAAATCAATATTAAGGACTAGTCAGATTTTTTTTCAGAAATATTGTAAAAAATTTAAAAAAAACAAACTATTAGTCTATAAACCAAAGAAATATTTTAATAATTATCAATAAGTTACAATGGTCAAAACCTGCATTTATTTCGCTTCCACAGGTAGATTAAATTTAAAACTCCAATTATTAATTAATTTGTTCAATTATTAAACAAGTGAATTTTTCATGTATCCATGGCCAGATCATTTTTTTTACTACGGTGCAAAACTGACATAGGTACATGTATCTGTATTAATTAATTATTTTTTTAAATTTATCATTTATTCAAATAAGTAGTGATATAATATGAAAAGAAAATGAAACTGCAGATAATAGTTCATTTAATGTAAATTACGCCTGTTTGAACATCTATTTAAAAAAGCAATGCTTAAGTGCAGCTGTCAATCAATTCTAATTATCTCCAACAGTGTGCGTTTTAAAGCATTTCCTGTTACCCAATGAAATTTTCACACCTTTCTGTGCATTACGTAAACAGAGGAGAGACTGGCTAATTTGGCACGGATTTTTCATGCTTCTTATTCAAGGTCCGTGTTGAATATTCTTGCATCTCAATATTATTGTTCATATTGGAGTTATCAATTTTACATGTAAAATATATCGAGTTATCCCCCCCCCCCCTTTCATTACCTTAACATTTTTTACATGTATATTTAATTCTTGTATAATAAAGGTATGGAGGAATTAATAATTTGAGTTACGGATTTCGATTTAAAGAAAAAGAAACCCTGGAATTTCACTGTCTTTAAATATGGTGTTTAAATTTTTAAGTGGACCGATGGTCCACCTAGTCCTGAACATTTGGTGGACCTTCCAATTTTTTGGTGGACTCGGGCCGCTGGTCTACCGTTAGTGTCGAACCCTGCTTGGACTTACTTATCCCTTTTAAACATGTCTATAATTTCACCCCCACCTTGTGCTGTCTTAGACTTACTTGTCGTCTTCCGAGATGACTTTAATCTTTTCACAGCCATCAGGTGGTTCCCTGACAAATGAGTATGACTTGTTAGGACGAGGACTGGCCACCACCTTAAAGTGAGAATCCGGTGACTCGCATCCCTCAATATCTGTAGGAAGAAATCACAATTATGAGAGCTCTATACAGAAAACATACAAAACAAAGGACAATTTTAACCTTATTATTTTACCTCATAGAAAGTTAAATGCTCTTTTAAAAGATTTCAAATGAAAGAAAAAGAATAAGTGTGGTATTTTCAGTATATATGAATATATAAAAAATAAACCATCTACAATAATAGAAGAGCAAGATTTAAAGATGGAAATCTACAAGACCAACAACCCAAATGCTCTTGTTTTGCTTTTTTTTCCATTCAGTGTCATGTGAAACATAAAATTTGAAAGCTGACAGACAAAAATCTTTACAGTCAATGACTTTAACATCTACAAATGGTTTTTCTCTTGTCAGATGTGAGTACCTTTCTCTGTCCTCTCGTTGCCCGAGTCCGCTCCACTGGACGGGCGAGAAGAGTCCATCTGGCCGGGAATTATGGGTATAGCGGGACTACCGGAATGTGACCCACTTCCTGAGCTCATGTCGTCCACACTGACAGTTGGCGTTCCCATGTCCAGCACGCCCGAGGGGGTCTGGGTGTCCACACTGCGGGTACTACTGGTCCGATGAACGGGCTCGGGGATTGGAGCCCGGTGCCCATCTGGGATCTCAATCTGTAACAAATTTTAAGTTTAATGAGGAATGGGCAAATTTCCAATTCAATGAGAAATGGGCATAGTTTTTTTAATATTTCAATTAACCATAACTCGAATCGACACAAATGAAAAGTTAAACAAACCACAGATTGGAATGGTAGATTGGAAAAGGATTTTTTTATGTGAATACTCACTCTCTCTGTCTCTTCAGTGTCATATTCTATGTTCTTCAGCACCAGTTTTTCAATCTCCTACAGAAAACAAAGTGCACACCATGTAATAAATCATTCAAAATGACAAGCAACTTTTGGTCTCTATTGAAGTAAACATATCTATATTCTTCCTCCCCAATGTTTTAATTGAAACAAAGATTATTAGATCTTGATGTAACCTTTAATCATGATAAAATGCTCAGATATTGATCAAAGTAATGCATTATTTTTTATTAAATTTTAATATTTATACAAAAAAAAAAACAATATTAAAATCTAGTGTGGAAAGTGTTAATGAATAATTTTCATAAAATCTTTTGCCACGTACTCCAACTCATTCATTATTTACTACTGTAGACTCCTAATTATACTCGAGGAATTAATTATCATGTAATTTCGAATGAAGCAACACTCGCAATATAAAATTACACGCTTTAATTTCTATGATGCTGAAATCCATGTAAAATTTTTTGATCAACCATCCATTTGCAAATTTTCATCGCTTTTTGACACTGAAGAGCCATTTTGCGATAAAAAGTACTCACTATAAAAAATATGGAATCTACAGTATTGTACACATTGAAATTTCTGCCCCGTTTTTTTTCGCCCCTTTAGTCCTGCTATCAGATGGAAAAATTTAAAGCGGGGCTAATTCATAGATCAATGTCTTGTTTTCTAAATAGAACTGTGAATAGGCAAATTCAAAACAAAGCAAACTTGTTTGCAAGTGTGAAAGGCCAAAGATAACCATGTATACAGTATAACCATGGTTACACATACCATGCTGAGGCCCTCTACGCTGTTTCTCTGGTACCTGGACATATTCTTGGGGGAGGGGATGTGAGCTGGGATCCCCAGGGGTTTAGATGTCCGGATTGGCACGGTGAGGTTCTGGAGGGCTGCGGGCGCTGTAACGGACAGGGCGTCGTGACTGGCCGGTATTGGACTCTGTCGCGCCTTCGGTGTGTCACTCCTACTGGAGTTCTTTAACCTTTGTCTGATGGCCTGCAAAACACAGCAAGAATCATCAGGAATGAAAACTCCTATCAGAGTACAGACAGATTCATAAAGAAAGTAAGGAAATACCTTACAGACTGGTATTTGTGACTTCTTTAACACAAAATATAGTGAAATTTAAAGCTTATAGCAAAGCAATTTGTTACATTTATAATGTAATTCATGTTTCCATTTAATGAACACCTTTTTAAACTACAGAGACTACCCCTCACGGTGTACATGCATTTTTGATGGAAAGCTTTCTTTAGCCAGTTTTTTATTCTTTATTTTCTATTGGTTAACTATTCTGGATATTAGTTTACAGACATACAGCTAGCTGGTCACCAGGCCCAAATGACCTGGATCGTCGGTGATCTTTGGACTTCTTCCTCTGTTTTTTGTCCAGTTTGTGTGAGCTGTGACGAACAACATCTGCCTCTTCTGTCTGTAAAAAGTCAACATTCTGTCAGCATATTAAAGACACTGTATCTGTATGCAAGTACAGAGCTAACCACTACACATTGTATTTCATGTACACTATATACATTTAATTCCTTTAAAATATCAAATTTAATTTTAAAACATGTAAAAGATCAGTTCATTTTTTTATATGACTATCTTGTTATAATTTAACTTTTTCACAGTGATTGGGAAGGAATTGGGGCATGCACCATAATTGCATTGAAGTGAAAATTGGTGCATTAACCTGTTTTTATCAACCAGTGTGCATTCCATTTTTAGAGATGTAACAATACTGACTGATTTTTTGGCATTTTTCAACAATTAAAATTAATCGACTAGCTCGAAAATATTTTGGTGAAAACATGGAATTAACGTTTTAGTCCTGCTGTCAGAAACAGCATAAAACAAGAGTGCATTAGGACATTTCTCACCTACAGATGAACTTTAGGGGAAATCTGACACCTCCATTACACAGATGGTAGGTCAGAAAGGCATCAGACATTAGATACAGAGTCAAAATTAATAATGCACACACCTGACCTTAGACAATAAATCCAATTAAACCTTTGTTTATATGACAGCAGCCCAAACTTTTACCTTGTTCAAAAATGCCAATACATGTTTTGTTTATCAATCATGTTGATGGCATTAACTTGTCATACCAGACACATGTTGAGCTGACACTTGGTCTGAGTTATAATTGTATAACTGTTGCTCTAATTTTCTTTTCTTAAAGCTAATTAGGAGTACATAGTAGTCAGTCAAACATGCTAATGCAATATCTTGGACTGTTATCCATTAAGTTCATATTGATATGTTTTAAAACCACTGGAATTGAAAAAATTTCTTCACCGTAAGCAAGGATTTGTTATAAGCATGTTTACTTTATAACCATGTTTTACTGTACTTTAACACTCAAAAAAAATTTAGTCCAGACGACCAGGAAAACTGAAGTTTATATACTTCACAGCAATATAGACATGATTGATTGATTGTATGTTGTTTCAAGTCCCTCTCGAGAATTTTTCTCTCATATGGAGAAGCCACCACTTGCCGATGGAGAGCTACAAATTTTGTCCTATGCTCAGCACTCAGGGTCATTGAGCATTGAGGGATCTTTTTCGTGCCAGCCCCTACTGCGACACGTGACCTCAGTTTATACTGTCTCATCTGAAGGAATTGTCTCCACATCCCACAGTGGGATTAGAACCTGCGACTTAAGGATTGACTCCTTACTTCGCGACTCTAGAGCAGACACTCTAACCACTGCACCATGCAGGCGACACAATATGGACATGATGTGACACAATGATCTTGATGACACATAAATAACGGTAAATATCCTTGGACTGCTGATGACTTCTCACCTGAGTACAGGCATCGACCTTGAAGCTTGCTGTTGACAGAAACTCTGGTGAGGGCCACTGCCCCTTCAGATAGATCGCCTCTAGTGACCCAGTTCTCTTCAGGGGGCTACTGGTCACTCTCACAGCTTTTGGACGTTCAACTACAAAATAATAAACAAATACCTCAAAAATCATTTCTGCGCGTGCGTTGAAGATTATGTTAAATTTTTCTTCAGGGGGTGTGGGGGTGGGAGGTTGGGGGCTGCAAAGATGTTCTTTAAAAATTTTATGAATACAGAAACTAATACTGTGAAATCATTAATTTTTGTGGGGGTTAAATTTTCATTGTTTTTGAGGCAAGGAGAGACCCACGAATTTATGACCACCACGAAATGTAAAATTTAATATACACTGATACATGTACTAAAACATTCTCCATCCACGAAATCAAGTCCCCGTAAACCAAGATTTTTCCTCAAACCTCAAAAAATTTGACTCCACGAAAATATGTGATTTTACAGTAACCAGCTTGGAAATAAGAGTAAGTTGGTATACTGCATTTTTAAACCCTCCAATTAAAAGATATTGGGGAAAAAAAAACTGTTTAAAGATTGATCATTCTTGCACTGATACAAAGTACAGCGTAAAACTTTTTCTTATTAATCAAAATTAATGATACAACTGAATACAACCTTCTTCTAAGCATAGTCATGATCGTTATCATAATAATAAACTTGTTCATTTACTAATCTATTGAATACTCTGGATTCTTTTTAGATTTTATTTCACAAAGTGAGAATTAACACCCCAAATCCCACCCCTCAAAAATCGCAGTATCGCAAGATATACGAATTAAAATTAAGAAAATGCTTATTTGGTCTGCCTGGTAAATAAATGCTTGCATTGCTTAGTCTTGTAAAAAAAGTCTATCAAAAATTTTAGACTTCCACCATGTTCATACATATAACTATATAATCATTTCTTTAAATGTCATTATAAGAAACGGTTCATAACACTAGGATTTTACATTTTAAACACAAAGACTGGTATGAAAGAATGTCAAATTACGTTTGGTAAAAAATTTTCGCCTTTGCTTAACAGAACCAGAAGTCTCTGTCGAGATTGAAACTCTACTGGTTTGTACTTATAGCAAAGGAAGAGGAAAGTTCTTAAGCAGTTGGGAATTGAAACTTTACCACAGCAATAAAAAGAATAATGATCCTTGATTAAGTCTCTTTATGTTCTTAGTATAGTCTACTTGCATGCCACATTATATTATAATCAGACTTAAACTGCAGGAGGAGTAGCATTTTGAGAGTTTTTAACAGAAATTTCTATTTTTAGTTACCTTCGCAACACGAATCATCGAAATCAAAAACCGATACACAGAATTATGCATCTTAGTGTAGTCTACTTGTGTGCCAAGTTATATTGAAATCAGACCAAAACTGTAGGAGGAGTAGCATTTTGAAAGAATTTCACAGAAATTTCTATTTTTAGTAAAAACAGCAACAACGTTCATCGAAATCAAAAACTGATAAAAAGAATTATGCATCTTAGTGTAGTATACTTGTATGCCAAGTTATATTGAAATCAGACCAAAACTGTAGGAGGAGTAGCATTTTGAAAGAATTTCACAGAAATTTCTATTTTTAGAAACAACGGCAACACCGTTAATCGAAATCAAAAACCGATACACAGAATTATGTATCTTAGTGTAGTCTACTTGTGTGCCAAGTTATATTGAAATCAGACCAAAACTGTAGGAGAAGTAGCATTTTGAAAGAATTTCACAGAAATTTCTATTTTTAGTAACAACGGCAACACCGTTAATCGAAATCAAAAACCGATATAAAGAATTATGTATCTTAGTGTAGTCTACTTGTGTGCCAAGTTATATTGTAATCAGACCAAAACTGTAGGAGGAGTAGCATTTTGAAAGAATTTCACAGAAATTTCTATTTTTAGCAACAACGGCAACATCGTTAATCGAAATCAAAAACCTGTATACAGAATTATGTATCTTAGTGTAGTCTACTTGTGTGCTAAGTTATATTGAAATCAGACCAAAAATGTAGAAGGAGTAGTATTTTGAAAGAATTTCACATAAATTTCTATTTTTAGTAACCACGGCAACACCCTTCATCGAAATCAAAAACCGATATACAGAATTATGTATCTTAGTGTAGTCTACTTATGTGCCATGTTATATTGAAATCAGACCAAAACTGTAGGAGAAGTAGCATCTTGAAAGAATTTCACAGAAATTTCTATTTTTAGTAACCACGGCAACACCGTTCATCGAAATCAAAAACCGATACACAGAATTATGTATCTTAGTATAGTCTACTTGTGTGCCAAGTTATATTGAAATCAGACCAAAACTGTAGGAGAAGTAGCATTTTGAAAGAATTTCACAGAAATTTCTATTTTTAGTAACCACGGCAACACCGTTCATCGAAATCAAAAACCAATAAATAGAATTATGTATCTTAGTGTAGTCTACTTGTGTGCCAAGTTATATTGAAATCAGACCAAAACTGTAGGAGGAGTAGCATTTTGAAAGATTGTTTACAGACAGACAGACAGACGGACAGACAGACAGACGGACGACGGACGCATTACTATCGCATAAGCTCTTCTGGTCTCTGACCAGTAGAGCTAAAAATGAAGGCCTAAAATTGTACACTTGATAAATTTGTTCCCAGCTTATCATTCTTGATTTTGTGTTTTTATGACGTCACATTAAGACCCACTGATGTAAATAACGCATTAGATCTAGACTAAGTATAATTTTACTGCATTTTATTGAATTAATTTTATTCTTTTTTACATTCAGTTTTAAGGATATAAATGTGATTACGTTTTTAGATGAGCTTTCTGATTCTCAAGTACAGTTTTCTCTATTTGAACTAATTGTCTAATAGTTGATTAGGCACAGCTATGGAACGCCATCACTGCCTTATAGCATAAAACTATGCACTCATTATGTCAATCTATCATTACGTGATGTGAACATATCTTTACGTTATGTCAATTTTTTATGGGGTGATGTAAAAATATCTTTACATCATGTCAATGTTGCATTACATGAGGTAAACACATTCTTCCATTATGTCAGCACTTTATAACTTGAAGTCCAAAGTTCATTATGTGAAGTGAAAATATGTTTACATTGTGTTAAAACTTGATTACGTGAAACGAATGTTTCTTTATATCATTTCATTTCTTTAATATGTGAGGTCAAAATTGCATTACGTCAAGTTAATTTCGTTTTACATGTGTTCTATGATTAATTTATCATTACGTTAAGTCAAAGTCCATTCCCTTTTGTGAGTTTATATTTCTACTATAACTAAGCATTATTAGGTGATGTTAATGTATCTTTATTTTACGCCGAGGTCATCACAATATGAGGTGAAACCATCTTACCTTTATGTCAGTGCTTTATTACGTGATGTAAAAAGGTTTAGAACATAATGCGAACATACATTATGGAGACAGTTCCGGCGTTCCATATTATACCAACACTTTATTACATTATGTCAAAACTCCATTCCGTGATGTGGATATATAATTACGTTATGTCAACTCTTTCTTATGTGATTTAAAACTTTTTTAAAATCTTTACATTGTGTTAATTCTTTATCATGTTGATTACAAATGTTCATTACGTACTGTAAAACACATTTACATTATGTCAAAGTTGATACCGTGCTTTCACGACTGGGAAGGGGGGGGGGGGGGGGGTTGTGAATAATTAAGACGAATTACAGATACATTATATGAGGGGGGGGGGGGGTCTGGCTTCCTCTTTCTTCCCGATATAACTTTATCATAGAAAATGTTCATTGAAATTCGCCCCACCTTTTTGCTGAAGTATATGGGTAATGTAGTATATTTGGAAAATTTTTCAGGACTGATCGAAGTTGGACCCCCCCCCCCCCCTACTTTCACCCGAAAAAGGATTTTCGAGTTTGGACATTTTTTTTTTTTTTTTTTTGCTTTTTCTTGTACGTTATTTTTTTTCTGGCTAACAAACCTCCCCAAACTTTCAAAAACGATGCAACGTCACTGGAATGAGTCATTTTTCAACCATTCCAGGACTAGAATTCTATTACAAAAATCTACCAGTCCCTCACTTAAATCAATTGACCATTCCTTAGTAAACATGGGCACATATCAGTGGCGATCTTGGGTTCTTGAAAAGAGTAGCTATAGGGGGACGGTATGGTGTCTAAGTTGGGGACCAGGGGATCAAACCCTGGAGGCTCTCAGGCTTAATTCATTTTTTTTTAATAAAACGTTTCAACTTATTTCAGTTATTCTTTATGTGAGACTTATGCAATGTCCTACAAAGTAAAACATTAATTAATTTCATGCAAATTTTGGTCACTAAAGATGGGAGGGCAGGATCCCCGCTCTCCCCACCCACCCACCAGTGCACGTATGAAATTCGATGTGTTTACACTTTTTTTAAAAAAAAAAAGAGGAGGGTTAAACACTGATAAAAAGCTAAGGACAGTGTTTTGTTGTTAGATCAGAAGTTTCGGACTTTTCAAAATAATTCAAAATCAAAGGCCTGAAATGCCTGCGAGTTGACTCGCTCGAGTCAATTGAGCTTTTTCATACATCTGGGCACCATACCTTTATATATTCAGTTTATTTTGCATCTTAAGAGATTGAATATTATATGTCTGATCCATGTTCGGTTCATAAATAAAGTGTATATTGCTTTTCCTTTATATTTACAGGTTGTCACTAATGGGCTTCCATATTATTTCGACTGGATTCTATAATGAATTTCAGCACACTAGCTGAAGTGGTCACTGTTATGGAATAATTAGGTTAAAGATCTGGATTCTAAAAATAGATTTTCAACAACAACTAGCTGCAGCAAATGAGAGCAGCAGGTGTTTGTGTTAGGGGGTATTCTAGGTCAATTATAAATAAACTTCAGATGGGAAGATAAGATCGCCTAACATGCTTGAACATATATTCATACGCAGTAATTGTACATCGTACAGTATTTAATCAAAAATTTCTTTAAAAGCATGAAGGCATAAATAATGTTACAGTATGAAATTTTATACAGTTTTTACCTCTTAAGTTTATTCAATCACTCAAACCAAAGCATTTTTTGCTAGAACTATTATATTTGGCGTATGGATCACCTTGATGAATGCGTGAAAAAATTTACAGCTCTGAAATGGCTATGTCGACAGGGAGTAGCTCGCTACGCGAGCCAACTCAATAAAAAGCAAAATATTACTGCATAACACATACTATTTGATGAGATTTAACGGCCATTAGATTTCGACGTTAAAAAAAATAATCGTCAATAAAGATTCAACGGGAACATGATCCTATTTATAAATTTTAACCTGAAATTTAATTAAGAATTAATTAAGTCTTGTGTATATAATTTAATATTTGATATGTTTAATTTAAATTATTTGCATGTTTAACAGATGTGCATGTAATATTGAAAACACAAAACGAACTTTTAGGCATAACCTAAACCTTACGTCACACAATAAAGAGTTGAAATATTCTAAGATATACAGACAAGAGGCTAAGCATTTTAGACACACTGTAAAGATACAGTAGCATAACATAATAATGATTTGTAAAGAAAGTAAGGGAAAATCGACATCATGTAATAGATTCCCGTCGTCATGTAGCATATTGATGACACAATATAGTAAAGAATTGGCCACATGTGACAATTTTTTCACATCAAGTAATGAAATTCTGACATCGTGTTATAGCGACTTGATATTGAATTGAAGATAAATGTAATGAACTACTTAGACCAAATAGTAGAGAGTGCACATAATGTAATAATGAGTTGAAATTATATAAAAACATCTTTACACCACGTAAAATTGTTTTTACTTAATGTCATAAAAGGCTGATATAATGCAATGGAAGATTGGCGCAATGTAATTGAAGTACGAGTTAATGACATAAAGACTTAACATAATGTAATGGAAAGTTGACATAATGCAATAGTAGTGTGTGTAAATGTCATAAAGAGTTAACATAATGTAATGGAAGGTTGACACAATGCACTAGTAGTGTGTGTAAATGTCATGAAGAGATGATATAATGTGATGGAAGATTGACACAATGCAGTAGTGGTGTGGGTCAATGTCATAAAGAGTTAACATAATGTAATGGAAAGTTTACATAACGCAATAGTAGCATGTGTAAATGTCATAAAGAGTTGACATATTGGTAATGGAAAGTTTACATAACGCAATGGTAGCGTGTGTAAATGTCATAAAGAGTTGACATATTGTAATGGAAAGTTGACATAACGCAATGGTAGCGTGTGTAAATGTCATGAAGAGTTGACATATTGTAATGGAAAGTTGACATAACGCAATGGTAGCATGTGTAAATGTCATAAAGAGTTGACATAATGTAATGGAAAGTTGACTCAATGCAATAGTACTCTAAGTAAATGTCACAAAGTGTTGACATAATGGAATGGAAAGTTGACACAATGCAAATGTAGAGTTCTGCTATAAGGCAGTGACGGCGTTCCATACACAGCAACTGAAAACGAGAGCTTTTCATAGTAGGATGTTCTTGATGAAAAACCCTTTGAAATCAAAATTTTTCTCCTTCAACTATGATTACTTATTTTAAAGCAATATGGGTTGCATGTTTGACATCGGAAATTTTTGTTGCAAATTTGTAATTAACTAATTCAATGACAGAAAAATAGAACATTTATGAACTTCTGTTGTTCATATTTGCAATGGAAAAGCTTTTTATAAGCTTTGATTAAAGCAAAATTGCATTATTGCCGTCCTGTACAATAATGTTTTCATATGTAATACTGTATATTCCATCGTACATAAATATTTCTTCTAAACCATTTTTAAACTTTATTTTGGTCTTATTGATCATAAGGGTTTAAATTACACTGAAATTAAACATAATAACGAGTTTTACCAGCAAAATAAAATTCTTAAAAATGCAGCTAATATTGCTTTAAATCAATATCTTGGAAACAAAAATCTTCTTATTTTTATTTGATACGTATATGATTCGTGCTATTTTTTCATCCCCAGTGAAATTGTATAACTATCAACAATAACAAAAAAAGCATACTTAATTAATATTGACTCATCCATGCAAGTTTGGTCTGGATAGAGTTTATAGTTACTTGGGAATGGACCTGCTCCAAAAACTTAAACCCGGTCACTCATCTGGAAAATGTAGGACAGAGTCAGCATCCGAAGCAAGTCTGGTAGTGTCCATCCCTAGATGCATCATCCATGCAAGTTTGGTCTGGGTAGGGCTTATAGTTACTTGGGAATGGACCTGCTCCAAAAACTTTAACCTGGTCACTCATCTGGAAAATGTAGGTCACATCCAGCATCCAAAGCAATTCTGGTAGTGTCCATCCCTAGATGCATCATCCATGCAAGTTTGGTCTAAGTAGGGCTTATAGTTACTTGGGAACAGAACTGCTCCTAAAACTTTAACCGGGACGCCGACGCTAACGCCGGGGGTATAGCATAAGCTCATCTCGACTTTGTCGAGGTGAGCTAAAAAAAGCCATACCCCATTATTTGCGATACTGAACCTAAAAAATTTTCAAAATTAATATTTTTTTTTTTACAGTAAACATTCTTTTTAAAAAGCAGACAATTTAATCTTTGTTAAAATAAACAGATACAATTTTAGAAAATTTGGTCTGTAAATATATATAAACACAGAAAAGAAGGATTACATAGATAGAATTGTGTTCATGTGTGGCTTTTAAAATTATTACGATAAAAAAGGCACAGTGTTATTAGTATATGTACCGACTTTGGTTTAAAAAAAAAAAAAATACGGAGATAGAAAGAGTCATTGGATCTAGACAGGGAAAGCCAAAACAGAAAAAAAAGCAATTGAGAGAAAGGAAGACAAAAGAAGTGACAGAATCATTTTATTTCCCATAAATAATTGAAATCATTTATTTGCAAGTTTAGTTTCACTTTCACACACTGCAGTCAATCGAATTCAGCCTTCCTTATAAATGCGCGTGCAACCGATTATACAGATAGCATAATCGATAGCATATTCTGATCATGGCTTAAAAATTTATAGTTGGAAAACAAATCATCAATATTCTTGTATTAGAAATTTATTCATATGTAAATGCTATCTGTCAACGTCTATATTCACAAATATATTACTCCAGTACAGAACTGCTCTCTCTGGACATCGTTTTTTCTCTCTCTCTCTTTAGATTGAAGTGTCGAAGGACGACAGTAAATTACACAGATAAAACATGCTAAAATCTTGCAAACATGCAACAGGATGTTAAAAAACAAATACTATCATGTTTGAAAATCATATATTTATGCTAGGTTTTAGTCAAGTTAATGATATTTCTTAAAAATTACCCTGCAAAAGACATGATCGTTGTATAAGTTTTAGTATTGAATGTTGCGACTGGGTCTCACTGACGTCATAAGAAAAGGGAGATAAGCAGCGCCAATTGAAATTCATTTTTTCAGTCAAGTAATTTTGATTGACTCTGCTGTCTTTAACTTGCGTAAAAAATCCAAAATGTAATTTCAGACTTATAAATGTTGCTCAGATGAACTCATTTCCGAATTCACAACCCAAAATGCTCAGGACATTGTTTCGTATGACCTTTATGACTTTCATCACAAATTTCATAAATAAAATAATTTTCTACTTTTCAAGTATATATATATATCCTCTTGATAGTAAATTATATGACAGATGAAGAGTTATAGCTCCCCACCCAGATCAATATAGATGTGTCATACTATGACATATCCCTGCTTAATAAGAGTAAAGTGGAAAACCCAAGAATTACCTGCAAAAGTGCATTGAAAATTGAACAATATAAACCATATAATCTGTTGAACAAACAAGAACCATGTCAAAATAAGACATGTTGAACATGAATGAATAAATATATGCATTTAATATTTATGGGTCTCAACTCCCTAAATAAATTTCAATAAAAAATCAAAGAAGTATTCTGCCCTCAAAAAATCTTTAAATGTGATAACATTGAGTTATCTTTGAATTTCTCCAATTGAAGGTAAAATATTGGCACTATGCCACAATTTCGGCCATTTTAATGATCGGGGCCTTGAAAGGGTTTTTGTACACATTATTTTTTTAGTGTATTTATAACTCGCCAATTATAAAGTAAAATTTCAAGGAAATCATTTTGTTTAAGCTTCTTCATATAGATAAATATCTTTCCTAGGGAGGGTCTTCCGGCGATTGCCGATTCCACTTTAAATAAGAGTCATATTTGCTTGCAAACTCTGTGGTGGATTTGACATTTTGACAATGCTTAAAAAACTTGGCCTGCTGCCAACTTCTTTCAATGCACGTTGTTCAAGCTAAAATTTTACCTTTGAAACTTGGTGAATTCGGAGATTTCCTCTCCGGGGAGTAGTTGGAGTCTGGAGATCTTCTCGGTACCCAAGGTGTGGGTGAGGACGGACTTTTTCTGGTGGGACTCCCCTTCAATTTGAAGGGTTGCACGGCTTTCATCGGCCGCATCGTCGAGGGCGACGCGTTCTTCCGCACTCGTTGCGGCTGTGTAGACATATTTTTTCAAATCCTATATCCAGAAAAGGAAGAAGAGTTTGTTATTAACACCTAATTAAACGAACAGATCTTTCAGCCTTCCATTTACCACTCAATTTTCGATCAAACACAGTCGACGTAAGTTTGGCAGACTTTCCACACAAGAATGCATATCACGTGACTTTTCGATCTTATTTCATTGGGTAAAAACTTCCGAGTGCAATATTTTGACAAAACTTGGAACTGTAATCTAGATCCATTATTAAAACAAAAACGAAGACAAGATGCAAGGGCCTATGCACTAAATGTTGGTGAGCGTGCTTTAATTTTAGTAAAATATATTTATCTTAGGCGAGGATCCAGGAATTTACCCGGTGACCAAATCAATCTGGAACAAATTTTAATTTGTTTTTTATTTGACAAGCCGCAATAAACATCTTTCCAGAACCTGAAACAAACTATTGCTGGAAAAGCACTTTTTAAAGTCTTTTTTTCAAAAAATCTCAACACCGACCCCTCTTCTCATTTAACGAGGGGTTCCCGTTTCCGCGGAAGGGGGGGGGGTGTCAAAGTCAAGTCACTTTCACATAAAAAAATATCTGAAAATACCAGGAGCAGCTGTCCATGCAGCCCATGTATATATAGATCTATTTATTGGCGTCTTTCAAACCTTTTGTTCAACGACTATATTGAATTAATTACAGCTCAGCTACTAATATTTTACATGTATATTTGAGGCTAAATAAAAAAAACCTTTAATTAATTGTTTCCCCTAACGTACGCGACCGACCCAATTAAATCGCACCGACTGAAAAGATTCTTTAAATAAGGAGATTCAATTATTTTTTTTATTGTTAACTAAGTTTCATGAAATACAATTTCATCAAAACCAGTTTTTAGCAGAACGGCCGACATTGTTCTACTGTGATTTATTGAAGAAAATGGTATTTTTCTTGAAAAAGTTCTTAATAAAACTAGAGGTACTGTGAGCAATGAGCTCACTAAATGATACCCCCCGCCTCCCATATGATTATAATGGCAAAGTCCATGTTTTGCGGTGGCCGGGAAACCCAAAATATTTGTCGGATCAAAAAATAAAATATGAGGTGCACAATGGCAATATGTAATAAAGATTCTGTGAAAGTTTCATTAAATTTCACTCAGTGGTTTAAGAGGAGTTGAGGATAAGAGATGGGTACCCTAAAGCGTAACAGACGGACGGACTGACGGACGTACAGACGGACGGACGGACAGACGGACGGACGGAATTAACGATTACTATATACCCTCCCGCTTTTCAAGCGGGGGGTATAACAACGGCGACGTCTCAATCTTATGCTATTAGCTATCTAGAATTCTTCACTCTTGAAACAATTTGATAATAAAATTTACCACGACTAATTAAGAGTGTTTCGGAGGTGTCTTGGCCTCTCCATGTGAGTGAATAAATTTTCGAAAGGGACGGTAAACAACAAACAAACCTGTCTGTTGAATTTTAAAAGGTACGTAATACATGGTACATGTAAGCCCCGCCTAACGAGCAGATGAGGGGCCCACCTAGTGAACACATCATTCAATTTCACTGCATTTTATTTAATTTGAGTTTTGATCTAATAACCAGTTCATCTATGTTCCTATGTTTACTATATGCCATTACGGAACCATAGGAGTTGTTGTAAATATGTCTGCATATTCATCCTGATAAATATAATTCAGATTTTCTTTCTTTAATGCCTTTATTTATGGGTTAAACTTCGTGACTATGACATTGTATATACATGTAGCATTTTTATCATTTGTAGATTCAGTTTGAGTCAATTAAATATTGTTTAAATACTCTTTACAAATAGTTTTGAAATCATTTTTCAGCTTCCTGAGACGCCCAGTGTATTTTTCTTTAATTACGGAAGATTGGTCTTTGAATCCCTTCGAGATTTCGACATTTGAACATTTCCCAATTGCTCCAAATTTAGACGTACTGAGCACTTTTTGCCATTAAGCAGTAAGGGATCTTTTTTGAGCCAGCATCTTTTGCGAGACTGGACCTAAGTTTTTATGGTCCCTTTTGAAAGACTGTTTTCAACGTTCCTTATTGGTATTTGGACCTGCGACTTAAAATTAAACACTTACTTCTTAACTCTAAAGCAAAATGCTCTAGAAACACTGCAAATCTGATGGCCCTCAAAACGTATACATTGATTGTCTATAAGCACTGGGGGCTGATGGAAGGTTTGAAAAAATATACTCGGATGTCCGGTCTTTGCGTATTTGAGAATCTTGTCTTCATCTATTTGATCTATATAAATGTATTCTGGCGTGAGGTAGCTCACAAGTTCAACTAAATATAACAGTTGTAAATTAATTAATCATGAATTTTCCTTTAACATGTTTAAACAGCATATGTTTGATACTTAGCATTTTATTCACAAATCGCTTTCTTTTGTACTTTTCTTGCTTATATTAAATTTTAGAATGTATTTTCAAAGCTGCTGTCAAAAATAAAATTGTTTACCTACCTACCGACCCACCTTGAGAATTCAGGGTCGGGTTAGGGGAAACAAAGACATTTCTAATTCCGGCCTGATATTATAATAATATAAAAACTTTAAGGCTTGAAAATTAATTTGGTGGAGATATTTTAAAACTGTTGATCGAATTAAGAATAAAACTTGATGAAAGAAAACTATATTTTACTCCAAAAAAGTTTACTTAAATTTTTTTTAAAAAGGTATTTTTCTTTAAAAATCTTCTGGGAGGTAATACAGTAGCTAGATATTACCCTACTATATCTAGGTCCTTTATCCAAAACAAATTTTGTTCAGATTATTATAGTTTATTAAATTCTACAAATTCCAAAACTTTAATATAACACTTTTTAAAAAAGATGCTACCATATTTCCGTTTTCCTGCCAGTGATTAATGTATATCTCCTCCTGGAAATAGAAGAAAAAGAAGAGATGGAGAGAGACGCAAAAGATAATATATGTGATCAGAAAAGCTTAGTTACACTGTACATCGCTTTATTTTAACTCTGTTGAGCTTGAATTGAGTCCATGAGGACCTGCTGCGAGTAAATTGGCTATATTTGGAATTTCGACTTCATGTATAGATCCGCCACCAAGTCAGATCCTTGACTTCACGTTTGATAAAGCAATGATTGACATTTTTAATTTTTCATGTTTTCTATATGTATTTATTTTATTTTACTTTATGATATTTGTATACAAAAATAAATCGTTAAAATATGGGTTAAAAATTTATTTCCCAAAACAAGTGCATGTGTTCTACAGATATACATGTATTGGGTTTTTATTTTGTGGTATAAAAATAATAATTAATGGTTCCCAAATAATTCCCGCTACCCCCCCCCCCCCCCCCCCCGAAATAGGATTTTTCGAGCTTGGGCTTTTTTTTTTTTTGCTTGTCAATTTTTCCAGGTAAGTAAAAATAAAAATTGTCTGGCTGGCCCCACCACTTTCAAAAACGATGCTACGTGCCTGAGGCAAGCTAATATTAGTAAGGCCCTTAGAAAAAATTTCAGTTAGAGGGGGGCATGCATTTTCAGTTGAGGTAGATGCAGAACTGTAGCGTTATGGTTTTATATATAAGTCTTTGACCATATGGTATATTATTTAATATATCGGCAAAATTATTGGGGGCAGCCCCCTCCCGTTCATACGGCCATGTTAATTTTGTTTCCAAAGTATTTTTTTGCAGAATACGTATTGGTAAAAATTGTAGGGTGATAATCCATCTAGTTGTTTAACATTTAAGGGTAATGTTCCTACATTTCTTTCAGACCCTTCCTGGAATATGCAAAGTACGTTTTCATATATGTATAGTTCAATTATTCTTACAGGCCAGGGTAGATTTTCACATCGACCTTGATACAAGTTCACTTTCAGGCACATAATATTGGGAAGATGTGCTTAATTGCCAATCCACAAGTTTTGCTGTCAAAAGTCATAAGCAATATTCTTCCAATGTCCAACGTCCCGTGTACAATGATAATTTTTCAAGATCTTTAAGATTAGCTTTTAAATTACCATTATGTTCAATTTCATCATTAATTTTACAATTTCTGGAGCTGACTAAGGAATTGAAAAATCCCTTTCAATATCTCTTTAAGTGTAAAAAAAACTTTGTAAATATAATTCATAAACTCAATAATAAATTTATAAATCATTGATTATTTTCACCGAATTTCATAAAAACTTTATCCAGTTTACCTCCCTGAGTTCATCATAAAAAATTTTAATCCAGTAAAAAAACCAATGCTTTTCAGTACTTAACTTTTATTTTTCGTCTGATTTTAATACATTCATAATTTCAGACATTCCATTTGCAAATACAAAGATGTAATTTTAAGAGGTATCACTGTATTTCAAACTGTCAAAAAAACATTAATATTCAAACATTTTTTAATTTTATATTTTTTCCATAAATATTAAGATAAAAACTTTTCACACTGTCACTTTAGTTACTGTACTCAGATGAGTCAGATCATGGATCACATTAAATATATCGATCTTATTGCCTGCATTTAGTAGATTGTTTTAATTTAAGACAATATCATTGATTTTTCCTGACAACAATTACTATTAAAAAACTGATGAATCAATCACTCCAGATTTCCCCAACATGTCTTTGAAATAAATTACAAAAGTTTAACCAAAAAACTTCAGGATTTTATATTAGAATACATCTGTACAAAGTTCTCTGTCCCTTCTAGCCTTTCAATGATGGTGTTTATCTCCCCTTGCTCTGCCTCCGAGGGTGACACAGGCATTAACGGACTATAGTCTTCAAAAAACGAGTCCACGGTCAGATTCTGTGCCTCTAATCTGGACTTTACCTCCATTAGCTGGGAAGGATCACATATAAACTTAAAAACAAAAGAAAAAGTTTTACTGATAGGAAGATCAGGAAAGACAACTCAGAATTTCAAATACAGCTTATAGTTACTGGCCATGCAAAGTAAATTACTTGGTTCTCAGGCCCTTTTTCAAGAAATATGATGAGGGAGGGAGGCATTTTTTTTTCTTTTTTATTGCCCCCAAAACATGATGAGGCAGCTTTTTACATTGTACAAAACCTCAAAAAATGATGAGGGAGGTGATTTGGTGTTTATATTTTATTGATTTAGCAATAAAAAGGGTCAATGAGGCACCCTTGGAAGAGATGAGGGAGGGCCTGAGAACCAAGAAATTAATTTTTTTTTTTGCCTTAGTAGTACAAGAAAAAACTTCTTAACGTTTTTATCCCCTTGTGCAACAAATTGTTAAAGAGATGAATCATTTTCTAAAACTTAAATATCAAGATAAAAATCTTCAGGAAATAAAGTGGGTCCATCATATTATCAATTCTGTGAAGGCTTTTGACCTTCTCAATAGATTTGATCAAGTATCCACCCTTGAACAAATGGACTGGAGCATCACAACAAGAAATCTTGAAAGTGAAAGGGACAACTTTTATAATTCTTATATTTTTCCATTAGCAGTGATCAAGAAATAGTACAATTCTCAGTTAACCTTGGACTTTCAGTAAGGTGTGGTATTCTCCACGTTACATAATTAGTGTCTGAAATTTACACAGCCTTTCATTTACCGTTGAAATATACATTCAGGCAAATGTTAATAAGTGTGTCCATGATCCAATCACAGCATTTTGTATGGCAGAGAGGTGGGGCTCAAGTGGTCTCATCGTTGTCAACATCAATTTAAAGTTGCTGATGTTATTAATTTCTTAACCAATGAGGATCTAATCGCCATTTGAGAGAGGTTAATTACGTGGTGTTGAGAAAGTCACACCCTACTGAAAGTCAGAGGTTAACTGAGAATCGTACTATACATGTAACAGCACAGCGTTTTTTTTCCTTATATAACTGGTACCGATAAACGACACCGTTCCAAATGCCAAAAAACGTTAATTTTTCCCAATTCTGTGATTAAAAATTCCCAATTCAACTGTGAAGCAAAAGATTACGACGACATCGTATTTCTTGTTAAATGAAACGTTGTACAAGTTGACTAATTGTTTCACTTCCACTTAAATCGAAAGTAGAGAAAGTTGTAATTTGGCGGGAGCAGTGGTGTCATACATTTTGACAAATTGAAAGCATGACAATGTGAAAACAAGGGACATTGATATAAAAAACAATAAGTACTTGATGTTTATTCTTTTAAAACAAGCAGTAATAGGTAATTAAGTTGGAATAAACGCAAAATACGTTGCATTTGCATAAATAAGAAAAAATTCTCCTTTGTTTTTCTTCGATGTTATTTTTCCCAATTGAACCGGTACCGGACCCTTTCCCAATGGGTGGAAAAAAATCGCTGCAGCAAATGAACAGTTTTATACCTTGATGACTTTTTGACCTTCCTCATTAGTCTCCATGGTGACGTCCTCTGCTTCACATTCTATGGCTACTTCCTCAAGGTCAAGGTCAGGTCGGTTAGGGTCAGGGTTCACATACAACACTCCCTGCTGCTTGAAATAATGTAATGTGGTAGGACTGTTGCTGATCTTCACTCTGAATTAAACAGTTAACACCTTATCTATATTCATAAAACATGTCACGTATGATCTAATGGGATTCTATCAATAAACTTAGCATCAAGAAGAAATATTTCCACACATATAACTTTAGATAAGAGTCAAGTGCAAACTGGTATGTACAGTTCACCAAAATAAATCTGATTTTTGTGTACAGTGATGTGATTTTTTTTTATTTTCCAGAATTTGATGAAACAGAAAAAGCGATATAATTTAATCATATTTACATGTATGTATCGGTAATAATGTTATTATATGATCTGGATGTACTTTGCAGTTATAGTAGTAAGGATTTGTCCACACAACCCAAGGCTAGAAACTTTATATAAACTGCCCACACACTTACGGAAGTTTTTTCAGGGCCGTCTTTAAGTCCGTTCTGCCATTGTTGACGTTGTCCGTGTCCAAGAGAACAATGAAGATAGAATTTCCAGGTCCATTCACTTCATACATATGCTCTTTAGAGTTCATTCCCTTTTTATTCTAACAGAAAAAGAATTGTTGCTAATGACTCATAATAAAAAATAAAACCTGATATGGATTATCATTAATTAAACCTTAACAGTTTGGTCTTACATTCAATCAAACCTTTTGAACTCAGGCATAAAACAATTAAGAACAAGTAGTTTTCATTTGACCTCCATCTAACTTCAACAATCAATGAAATTCAGATCAGTTGTTCTAAATATCAGAGTAAAATTGTATTTGTAATGTGTGTATTTTATGCAGTACTGATTAACATCAACATAGTAAGTTGACTTTATACTGTAACAGAAATTAACTGTTCCTATATATATACATGTAGAAGGACATTTTTGCCTCCTTTTTATTTTTATCATTTTTGTCCTCATTGCAAGTGGACATATTTGTAATAGGATGAATTCACAGAAGACAGCATTATCTCATATAAAGCACAAAGCAGTCTTGGTGAATTTACAATGGGACAAATTTAAATTGCTGCAGTTGTCAAAATAACGCTATATTTCTAGTAAAATTAAAATATGAGATATCATATAATTTTTTTTATTTGTTAATATAATGTGTCATTTTACATACCATCTTTTCCAGCAGCCTGTTGAATGCGTCAACACTCAGACTTTGTTTTTTGATGCTCTCTAAAACCTGGGCTAACTTCAGGTTAATTTTAGGGTCTGTAGAACCTCCCTCTGGAAAAAAAAATCAAATCAACATTTAATTGATTTAAAACATAATTTATAAGTCTGTGTTTAACTTGTGACATGACCCGGCAAGTTTTCCTTTGAAGTCAAGCATACTGTAACTGCGATACAGAACACTTTTTGTGGGCGTTTTTTATGCAAATGAACAGAAACTGTACTGTATCTGCAAAATATCAAAGATACAGTACGGTTTATTTTTAGCCATGACAGAAAGCTGTATCCATATTCAGACACAACAATCGTTCAATTCGCATGATAGCACTGTTACATGTAGTAATTACTCAAAATTTGAGGTGATTTTATTAAGAATAAAATTTTACAAAATAAACTTATGAGTGTCGGATTAAAAAAAAATTAGAAAGGAGGGAGTGGGGCAGTTCAAAAAGGATTACCTTGAACACCCCCCCCCCCCCAAAAAAAACCCCTGAAAATCGTATTTGGGGGGGGGGGGGGGGGGGGTTAGGTTTATAATCAATTGCAACCAAGACACTATGTGCGTGAAATCGTTACTTGTTAATAATTTAAAAAGAGTATTTATATACGATTGGCGAAAATAATTTACAAAAGCGAAAAAAGAAAAAAAAAACTTTAAGTTGGGTGGGATGGGCGGCCACCTGTGAATACTGGATCCCCCTTTGGTTACTCTACATTTTATTTAAATCATGAAGGTAAAATACCCCCTCCCCTTCCTTTCATCTGTTTATTTCAATTTTGTATATGATGACAGGTGGAGGGTATTGTCGGAGATTTCTCTCAGAATACGATATCCCCGAAGCATTTTTGTTTCAAAATACGATTCTTATATATAAAAATGTTTTGCATTAATTCGTAGCTTAAATTTAAAAAAAAATGTCAGCAAGAGCTGAATAGATAAAAAAAAACCTACCCAATCAAATCTAAATTAATTTTTTGGAAAACAAATTATATAATGCATCCCCGAAATAATTATTTTTAAAATAATAGTAAATAATTACCTGCACGTCCACCTCACTCGGCATTTCAGTTGCGAATGCTTAAAATGGGATATTAAATCAACTTTCTGCTAAAATCATCTGATTGGTTGAGAGATACGTACCCAATTATGAATGTAAATTAGTGAGGTTATTAGAAAGGTCATGTCACAAGTCATTTAGAATACTCGTTTCCTACTATATCAGAGATACAGGGCGGGGCCCGGCTCGAGCTATCGCTCTCGCCTCAAGCCCCGCCCTGTATCTTGATACATAGGAAACTCGTGTTTAAATATAACATGTTTAACTTCAACAAAATTAATTCAAATTCAAGTTTTTGTGTACCTGAAAACAAAGAGATTCCAATGATACCTTGCCATTGTTCGCATCACCTTCAAGGTATTCAGATTCGTACCTAGTATGCTAACACTACTAGTCTTGTGAAATAGGCTTTCCTCTTTACAAACCCCACCCCATCCTAGCCCATTACATCCCCCCATAAAAACTGGCTCTAGAATATGATACATTCAAATATTTTTAAAAGGTTTTTAGCATTGATAAAAACAGTGGAAATCCTACTCTTAAAAAGAAAGGGAAAGGGAGAGAAATACTGTACTCCATTCATTAAAAGCACCGTAAGAGTTATTTACCCTCCCCTTCCTCCCTCAAAGCTTTCTGAACTGGTAGCATTTATCTCCCCAAACCCCCTTTACCTTTTACAGCTGTTTTGGCAAGTCTGACATACTGGTTCATCATGGTGGACTTTTTATAATCCTGCGCTTCTTTACGATGTTTGATGTTGGAATACTTATTATGACCTGCCATATGTCTGTTTGTCTGTAAGTGCACAGCACTAACAGTCTGGAGCAATGCCTTTCTTTGCACTGCTTTTTCTGTCCATATATTTTTTTCTGTCAATTGCGAATTTCTTTCCCTCAAAAAATCATGATGAAGAGATTGCCTTTGAATACAGTACAAGTTGCATCTTGTCCATCTATGAGGAGGTGCTCTTTGAAGAACTCGAATAAAACACTGGTGCATTGCTTCCATTGCAACACTTTGTTGATTTCTAAAAATAAAAATATATATAAATATCTATCATGTATTTACCTTTCATCGTATGTGTAACAAGAAAGGGGAAAATGTATGAATGGACTTGGAATCCAAGAATCGAACCTGGGACCCCCCAGTTTTTCCAAAGATAGAAATCAAAAGTTATAATTAACTCGTCTGTTTTATGGCCCTCAGGCCAGGCCACAAGTGACTGAATCTTGGTCCTAGCAAATGTTTCTCCTCTCCCGTTATACATGGTGCCCGACTGTCGTGCCATGCCCTGGAAATGACAGGTGAAAGACTGGTACAAAAAATCTGACGTTTTCCAGGCTTTTTATACAATTTTTGCGTACCTGGCGTGTAGAATTAATTACTAGAATATCAAAATCGTACAAATCCATGGAAAACATCAGATATTTCAGACAAGTGAAAGACCTGCCAATCAGCCAAGGAAGTCCTGAGTTGGTGTCTCAGATTTTTAATGAGGGAGGAATGTGGCGGTCAGACGGTTTCCAAGTACAAAGTTTTTGCCATATTTTGATCAATTAACAGAGAAACAACACAGGGCGGATTGACGGATTTTAAAAATTCCTAAGGAATAACTATGAAATTGGAAAGTAAATATTTGATTTGCCCGGTTTAGATATGCAAATAGAAACGAAAGATGATTACATTAAATGCCGACCTCGTAAACAATAGTAAAATACTGAAATATCAACATGATCAAACTACAACACTCAAGAGTAAATTCGGGCCACGAATGTTCTATAAGTTTTTAAATATTCAAGGACTCCGATCGAATTCATAACTTAAAAGTAGTAAAATGCAACAAATTTTAGAGTTATTTTTGCAACTGATTAATATACATTCACTACAATGTTAACATCAAACTTGCAAAACAGTTTTTCACAATCAACCGATTCAACCTGCCTATGAGCCGAGGACAAAATCTTGTCTAGTTCCCTGCCCCTGCTTGGGCATCATTAATCGGTTCAATACCATTTCAGCCCGGTAGTTTTTGCTCCAAAACACCTACATTTTTTTCTCTTTTATCTTATTTTTTATTTTTTTTTATTATTATTATTATTATTTTTTTGTGTGTTTTTTTAAGTTTACATTAAATTCACATAAATATATTGTAAAATACATGTATGAAAAATTATTCAAATATGTGTGGCAGTTGGCAGTAAGCACTGAGCAATTGGCAGTCCTATATGGAATTCCATAGGAAAGAGCAAGGAATAAGGACCCCTTCTCTTTTTGCTGAGAATATTTATGGGATACATTTGGAATGTAATTTTGCTTGGACCTCCAATTTTTATTTTTCGGTCATACATTGGAAAATTCCAGACTTGGAAAAATATCACTTGAATCTTAGAGAAAGCCGCACCCCTACAAAATCTACACTGTCTAATTGAAGAAGCCTTACAATACTTGTAAGTATTTGTGAAGAAACCTGTTCTATGCTGTGATATTTTTTTACACTTGGAAAAAGATTTTGTCCTTGACATGATCAATTTTGTATCCCTGTCACCTAACAATCAATCTAAATAAAATTAGATGTTAGATCCACTCGCATACTATGCGAGCGGATCTAACATCTAATTTTAATTAGATTGCCCAACAATACAACTGGATCAAAATTGGCTAATTAGTTGTCAAGATCGAAGTCCACAGATGGATAGGCAGCTGAAAATACTGTTTTAGATGAACTAAATTTGGATCAGAAAAGCTGGAGTTTATAGTTTAGGTGAACTATAAACTGGATACAACAGCTAAGGCTTACAGCTCAGATGAACAGGTCATACATGTATACATAAACTGTTTAACAGTAAAATACCGTTACAAGGAAGTGCCAGGGACAGACAATTTTGCTTTGTTTTAGATGTAATTATATTAGCGTAATTTGTCATATCCATCAAGTTTACCATATATAATAAAGTCACAGGAAATGAAAATCAGTTGGCTGTAAGTGTCAATTTATTATAAGCGTGTTCACTATACCCATGTTTTGCTGTACCTGTATGAGCAGTAGCAGGTTAAAGCTCTTTACTTGATATGATGATGATATGTATAGTGTATTAATGTACGGCTGGACCGTGAATCGAACCCGGAACCCTTCATCTCCAGTCAGGTGCTCTACCAACTGAGCTATCCAGGCCAATATCCACGGCCCAAACCATTACAGTATAATAATTTCATCTTACAAAAACATTCTGCTCAATCAAAATAACCAAAAACAATCATTTTAAAGATTTGGATAAAATTTATTTATTCCGTTCTTTTTTTTTCTCTTCATACAGACACACTTGAACATTTAAATACCATGATGAACAAACAAGGCAAGAAAAACAAGAGGCCCATGGGCCACATTGCTCACCTGAGAATCTTTGACCATTCTGTTTTTTACCAGATTTCCCCCTTGTAATACATATTGTTACCCAACCCTACCCCAATGATCATAATTTAAACAATTTGAAATCTACACACAACCCATAAATTTTAGCTCTTGAGAAGAAAATTTTTAAAGACCCCCTGGCAGGACTTTTACCTGCAATTCCAGGAGTGGTCATCGACACCAAATCTGTAACAGGATAGTGGTTCATGAGAAGATTTTCAAAGATTTTTCCTATATATTTCTATGTAAAACATTGATTCCCCTGTGACCCCGCCCTATCCCCGGGGGTCATGATTTGAACAATTTAGAATCTACACTACCCCAGGGTGCTTCCATATAAGTTTCAGCTTTTCTGGCCCAGTGGTTCATGAGAAGAAGGTGCTCTACCAACTGAGCTATCCAGGCCAATATCCATCCACGGCCCAAACCATTACAGTGTAATAATTTCATCTTACAAAAACATTCTACTCAATCAAAATAACCAAAAACAATCATTTTAAAGATTTGGATAAAATTTATTTATTCCATTCTCTTCTTTTCTCTTCATACAGACACACTTGTACATTTAAATACCATGATGAACAAACAAGGCAAGAAAAAATAAATGTGGAATGTGGCTATAAGCAATATCCATAGCTTCTTAGAACAAGTTTAAGCTGCCAAAATTTATGCGGAATCTTATATCAGTATCTTGGTCCACGTAATTTAGTACGTGTTAAACAAAGTACTTTAATTCTCACTATACATATTGCAAGACTGTAGATTGTATAAGATACTTATATGCAATTTAGAATTTCTTTTCTTGAAACTGCAAACCCAGAATAAACAAATGATTGTAACTATAAAACTGATTGAGTTACTGCTATAAAGTATACTGTGGTAATTTTTCTTGTACAGGTCTAGTAAATATCACAAACGTTCCAAAACACGCCACAGTCACATGGAAAAATATCTGTACATTGTTGCGAAGTTCCCACAGATAGAGCTGACATAGACACACGCTCCCTAGTGTGGCACAAGCTAATGGCTTCCTCTGTTTACGTGGATAACACATTAAATACACCTGTAATAAAAATCGTAAAAAATTTTTAAGTAGAAACAATCTTTACTTGAGTCACACTCATATGTCTGAGATACAAGCATACATGTACCTCCAACTGATCTAAGTCAGAAGCATGCATCTTTTTTTCAAATTCAGGTTTAAACTACCGTTAATACTGTAGATAATTATATTTTGCTAAACCTTCTCTTCTTAAGATAGACATTTACTCTTCATTAATGAAATGAAATTTCATGAATGACTGCTCTTTATAATATCTTCAGGAATACCAATATATCCGAGAATGATATTTTTGTGAGCACAGTCTTACATAATTACGAAAATAAAGTTTTCATGAAGAAAAAATGATTTACAGAATGTTCGAGCAGTTTTTCAACATAACAGCAATTCTCTTTCATGCAGACAATCATTACATGAATCATATTGTACATGGTTATCTCATTCAAAAGTTACAATTCAGAAATGGGTGGTGAACTGGTGAACAAAATCTTACTTGGAATAATAGGAGAAAACTGCAAAATATGAAACTTGCTGCATTCTGATAATGGTCTTTTGAAAATTCCTAAAAATACAAAAATAAAAGTTACCTAATTTATATACAGTGATAAGAGTAAACTCACAGGAGGAACAAAATTAGGCATAATGTCTTAACACAGTTAATAATTAATAAACAATGCTGATAATAAATCAATACTATCAGTACATTTATTTTCATTCCCTGTACTTTTAAAATTATAAAACTTATTGGATATTACAAATCATATTTTGTATTAAATCAGAATTGTTCTTTCCTGCCATTTTAATATAACCATGTTTTTATACTCTGACAGAAAGTAAAGACACCAAGGTTCACATACTTCTATATGTGCCTCATTAATGACTGCTACTCCTCTGGTAAAATTCATTACAGCACATAAAGCATTCAGACATAGAGACACGAGCACCAGGAGGTTTACAGGCAGGTAATTCCCATACCGCTTCGGAATGGCTGGAATAGGACATCAATTTCAAATTAAAGTAATATGCAAATGGCAATGTACTATAGTTTTTTATGTCTTCTCTATTGATTTTGAATTCACAATTTTAAAAAAGAAAACCCTGAGATCATGATGCATCTTAAACTTAAGTCAAAATGTTTATATTGTACTAAAATGTTGAGAAAGTCATTCAGACAAAACTTAAAATGTCAATATTGTTTCACAAATGTGTTTTTATCTACAAATTTAGTGATTAATACAATATTTAATAAACATTTTACAGGCAACTGAAAATTTGAATGAAGTTTATTAAGTCTGTTTCATGATCCCAGGGACAAGAACTCTTCTGTTCAGCCATTAATCTCTGCTTTCATCATTGTCCAAAATTACACCAATACTTACTGGTGAAAAAGATGAGGTTTTTAAACATGAACGTAAAAGATGTTTAAAATGTTTGTTATATTTATTTTAAAATTGTTTGAATAGAGAGAATTTAGGAAAAAATTGAATTAAAGAGAGAGAGAGAGATACACAATCATGTATTAATATTACAGCAACTTTATGCAATAAGCCAGATTGCATTAAATTGTCTGGCAAAACAAGCTGCAAAATTTATATGAACCTGCTCTGATGACCTGCATATGTGAACACAATATGAAGGCTGTTTGGAAATTTGTGAGGCATTGTGTTCATTCTTTCTATTAAATGAATGCCTATTTCATTAAATTGTCTTTTTCTTTAGTGGATTAAAAGTAAACGTCTCAATAATTTTCAAACAGTTTGTAGATAAGTATATAACACAGTATTTTATTTTGCTCCTTCTTTGATATCATACCTAGAGTGAAGTGAGTCTGGGAATCTGTGGAGTTGACAGAATTGGCAGATGCCCCTCCCCCTGGGCGGAGCTCCTCTGGCGTGATCATGTGAGGTGGGCGGAGCCTAATCTCCTCCTGAAGCTGTGATAGGTTTAACTTGTTGTACAGAGACCGAGAGCTGTTGTATCTATGCTTAATTTTCTGTAAGGTTGTGTCTACAAAATGTGGAAATGAAATACAATTCAATTTTTTGTATTATTACCTTAAATAGTAAAATCATTTGGCGTGCATTTTTTGCATTGCACAGACAGAGGTCTAAATCTTGAGCATCTATATGTACAGCCTTTTTTGGATAAACATGTACATTGAAATTCAAGGGACCAACATACAAACTTTGAAAAGTTTGACATAAGGGATTTTGGTCTGAGGTGTTTTAACATCTTAATCCTGACCTTGAACACAAAGCAAACACAAACCACACATTAACAAGGTGACATTTACAAGCATACTTTGATATTGTTCAGAATATATTTTTTAACCCACAAGAAATGAACATCTTTTTGCTGTTATATGCATCAATTCATTATAGAGTGTGATTATTATGAGCATGTTTTACTGTATGTACTGTATACAGGGAAATTCATAAACAGAACTGTGATTTTGCGAATTTAAAACAGGGAAAAATTGTAAGCAAGTGCAAAAGGCCGAAAATAACACAGGGCGAAAATAACCCTGTATATAGTACCATGTACTACCACTAAGGGGATATAACTCTCACCAAACTGTATAAGAGCATAAGGCCTTGTTACAGATTCCACATAATCTCTCTCATTGCTCTGTAGAAATTCTCTCTGAACTTCATCCAAGAAGGCAAATGCTAACACACTTGAATAGTTACTGTCACAGATGACTAGGTACGTCAAATTCAAGGCAGATATCATGCTGCAAAAGAAAGAATAACGGATGTTCAAAAGCAACAATACCAGTGCGTGTGTATCTGTGAACTGGCCCCAGTATCCGAGAAAATGTATGAGAGCTGTGTTTGAAATGGGACCCGCTTTATAACTGAAAGACTTTACTAATCTGGACACCACTGGTTCCATAAAATTTTGGCCAGGATAGACAATATTCCATATTCATTATAGTAGAGAACATTTTAAACAAATAAATTTACTAAAAGGAACTCAAAGTGTTCACCATCGCAGTCTTCGAAATAACCTGGGTGCCCCATGCCCGGGACCTGGTAAATTTGCCAGCGGGCATGTGAAAATTCTCAAATTACATGCCCGAAGGGCATGTGTGAATTTTCTTCGATTCTCGATGTTTACTTGCTCTTTCTTCTGTCATACCCCAGTTATTCGTGTAAACTTGCTATGCAATGCCTTAATATGAATTGCCAGTCAACATTTGTCTTACGTTACATTATCAGTACGACCTGTCAAATGATTATCAATCGTAAGCATTAAAATGTTTAATTTAACCTATTTGTTTTCTTGATGTTTTTTGCCAAATTACGATATGTTTATTTATACCACATGCAGTGGACTGCTGTCATGATGATCATGATCGTACTTATGAAATTCAGTTCAGCTATAATGGCCAACAAACGGCCAGCATGCGAGTCAAAAGTTGTGAACAAAAACGCGTACGAAAATGGCAGACGGGCAGGCCACGGTTGATTTAAAACTCTGGAAACAATTTAAACAAAAGATTGAGAGAATTTAAAAACAGAAAAACTGTCCTTATATTTAATATAAAAACCTTATTTTTTGTTGCACTATCATATCTCTGCTATATGATTGAAATTTGAGTAGGGCATGTACAAATTTAAATGGGCTGGGTTAAAATGACCGGTATACATGCCCGAAGGGCATGTGCTCAAAAAGAATTGTTGTGAAGACTGCCATCGTAGGCAATATTTTCAGATTACTCAACATCCAGACTAGACAAGTTTCACTGAATTACTCACTGTATTGTAAACTGTTCCATGACGTATGTTGCACGGTCAGGAATTCTCGCACTAATTCTGGCCAGTAACTTGGCCTGGTTAAAACTCTTCTTCAGCTCCTCAGGGTCGCTACATGTTCTAGCATCTGTGTTGGCAGTCAGTAGAAGACCATCACTAGTTCTACTGATGAGTATGTTATGAATTGACATTTTCACTGCTCCAATCCCTAAAATGAAATCAGTATTAAAATCAGTAATTTGATACAATTGTACCGTAAACCAACTATTATTCAGGTCATCTTTTATTCGCACTGTGTCAGTTTAAAATCAATCCATAATTAATTTCCGCAACTGAGGAAACATTTTCTACTTATGCTTGGCAAAATGAATAGTTCGCGGTGAATAACATTCACGAGTTAAAGTAGTCATAGCTTGGATTACAGTAGTTTAGAGGAAGGCTACACATATCAGGCTGTCTTTTCATTTATAGATCCGCCTGGTCATTACAGTATAAAGGAGCTTGGTATTATTTATTTATTTTATTTTTTTCTTCATATTTTATTATTATTATTATATTATATGTAGTGCTAACATTTCATTGTGAACTACCCTATATATCAGTATTTCAAATCTGAGAACTTTTACAAGTGAGGATCATGTCAATTTTGCATTGTTATAATAATGATTATATTGTTTGTCTCTTAATTGTATATGCCCCCAGAGGGCCCTTGATTGGTGAATAAATAAAAAAAAAGAAAATACATATAGAAAGTTTTAGATTAAGGCCTGAATTTAGATTTATTCCCAGTTGGTTGCCATATTGGAGGTAAATAAGCCCGAATTCCTTCATTATTCAACCAATTTAAAGTTGTCATAACAAGTTATTGGGTGAAGATAACACAATTTTTCTTACCACTTTATGTTAATACAGGCCTCCTTTTTATTCATAATTTTAGAGATTTTTGCCCTAACATTTCTGTTATTTAAGCATAAACTTGGCTGCTCAAAGAGAAAATTCGCTTGTAAATTCGTTGGACCGCGTACTAGAGATGGCAGTCTATAACAGAGTCAAACTATAACAAAGTCGGCCTATTACAGTCGGCCCATTAGTTTTCAAGTATTACAAATAAAAAAAATTTTGCTTGTAATTTATTAATCTTACATATAAATTTAAATAACACTCTGAGTAACACTAAATTATATTTGTTTTCACGAATTAAATATTTATTTAGCCTTGGTTCAAATGCATAAAACAAATATAATTTACTACTTTTTTATTACATAATGTAACAAATTAAATAGTACATAGGTATATTTTTAATCAAATGAGAAAAATATGGGAAATATTTTACAACAAAGCTACTTTTTTTTTACCAATGGATTATCGGTTTGTATTGCTCAAACAGCTGTACCACAGGTTTCTGTAAAGTGTATCTTTCCTTCTTATCAGTCATCGAAGTTGTCAAAGTGAAACATATAATGGACCGAAACTACCCTCAAGATGTTTTCAATGTTACTTCATTGCAGATACATACACATGTATACACATCTAAGAAGTAAACACCTATATTACCTCTCGTTGATTGTGCCAACTCTAAAATTGAAAGTTGACAACTCTACCGGAAATGAAAAATTGGTGCGCAGGTGCTCATCAATACGTTCATCAAAATATTCGATCTAGCTCAATCTCTACCCCGAGTTATCGTTCCACTTACAAATACGAGAAGCCTTTGAACTTTTGCAATGAAATTTTACATTACAAGTCCCTGCTTAATAAGACCCCTATTGATTTTGAGGTCAAAGGTCAAGGTCGTAAATTAATGCAATTTGTCTGTGTGTAAAACTTCACTTCCGAGCGAATCTCAAGAAGCACGTACAGATTCTTTTAGATAGAATGTTCTATCGTTAAAATGATATTGTCCTACGGACCCGGTTTAACGATAGAATTCGTTCCGTGTATTCGTAATGTAGCAGAAAGAAACACGGGCGATAACTCGCATAGTGCATTTACTTGGAACAATCTAGAGAGTTCCGAATGTAAACATGGACGGTAATTAACCAAACTTCCCCTGTGCGGAGACGCAGAGGACTATGGGTAGTATGGGTAATTAACGTATCGCCAGCTGTCAATCACAACAAATTTTCAACCAATGAAATAATTTCGATTATTCTGCGCGTTCAGTAAAAACTTGCTCCGCCATATGCTCCGACAAACAAACTCAGTGGGTTGAGTGGTTGACAATAAACAAATTGAACAAATAAGTCTATGATGGTTAAAAATATGCCGTTGGGGAACGTGCAATACCGATGACAGGTATCCCGAAAGGGAATTATGGATGTTTCGGGACCGCCATGCTTTGGGACGCCGACGTTTCGTGACCTGACAACACATTTCGGGACTTGGGTTTACACGTTTTGGGACTTCTAAATATTTTGGTCAGGAAATGAAATAAAACTCGTTTACTTGTTTGTTATGTTTATACATGTATACTTTCTTAGTTTAATACACGCGAAAAAAAAACGGTATAAATCCATATACACGGTATAGAGATTCATTTGACAGACTGTCTTCGCGTTAAAAATATAAAAATAATATGAATAATAGTATATATATCTATATATGATAGATAATTATGCTTAATCAGTCCATAACACTTCTACGTACTTGCATGTTTTACCCTCAAAATAATTGTCAAAATACATACACATTTTAAAAGAGAACTATATACTTTAATTTCATATTAATTTTATCGCACGGTGTTGACTTGTGTCTGAAAGTTACCAGTTTTTATAACCAGTTATTATTGCATATGCAGGATTGCCTGAGTTTACAAACTTTTTTCACTTTTTCAAAAAAAATTAAATTCGATTTAATTTACCCATTAAAAATGATTCTATTTTATCGCTAAAAATTAACTTTTAATTACCCCCCCCCCCCACCTCCCCACCTATTACTAGCATTATTTAATATATTAAGAACACCATCATGTATTGGCAAACTACCGAAATTATTTAATTACTTCATTTTTTATATAAAGACATACATTGCCATTACCGGTATTATAATCAATATAGTGTATCTGTAACGAATTAGTCCGACTTTGTTATATGAGGCTTGTCCCAGAAAAACACGAACTTTGTATATTCGATTTGTATACATAATATATATCTGACCAAAATTATTCAAAATCTTCATGCACTACTAACTATTTTTGCCAAAAAGTGTGCACATTTTCCACCATTTTTCCAGAGTCGATATTATCGGAGCCCGAGAGATTTATGGAACGACCATTTGATTCGGGAAGGGGAGAGGGGCTTGCAATTTTTTTTCCAAGTCAGAGTCAGATTATTTATTGTCATATCGGTGAAAGACGGATTATTTATTCCCAATGACATATTATTTATTCTCCGCTTCACTGAAAAAGTCTAACAAGCAAAAAAAAAAAGGGGGGGGGGGGAGACACGTACCGTCGACAACCCAAGATTATTGTGGAGGTGGTGGGGGCATATTATTTTTTCCCTTCCAGTTGAGGAAAGATTATTTATTTTCAATCTGATTCAACTCCTTTATCAGCCAGACAACCCCCTTCAGAATCAAATGATCGTCCCCTTATAGATTAGGAACTAAAAGCATGTCTTGACAATGTCGTATGGGTTTTGTATATTATTGCTGATTTAATAAAATTATTACATTACAAATTGAATTAAAGTCGCAATGTGCTTCTGTCTTCGTCGACATGGATGTTTACAGTATAAGGGAACTCGGACTTTATCATGCTTCGATAAACTTTCCGAGAAAGGGATAATACGTAATCATTTTTTAATATTTCAAGTGAATGAAATTTATGAAAGCTTTTGTAAAAGCATTTGCCCTTCGTTTTGTCTCAAAGTGGGTTCGTGTGGCAAATATTTTGCAGCAAAATCATCAGGAACTTCGGACAAGTCAACCAGCGTCGACTTATACTGAGTTACACGCTATGTTGATGATGTCGGAGCATCATAGGAGTTATCTCCCATAGCGCGATGGGCGGAGTTTGGCGATACGAGAGAAAAACGTTGAGAAAATTAATTGGATTTTCGTATTTATATGGATTATTTTTTGGGATAAAAGGCATAAGCAATCTCAAGAAGGTTTGTTTTGATTATTTTGGTAGTTATTCCCAGTGCAAATCATTTTATATTCTTCAAAATCGTTTCGGAGCGGATCCGCTCCGATTTGCTGTCTGTCCGTCTGTACGTCCGTCCGTCTGTTACCCCATCTCTTATCCGTAACTCCTCTTCTGATAGAAATTTTATGAAACTTTCACAGAATCTTTATTACATATTAACATTGTGCACCTCCCATTTCACTTTTTTATTCGACACGTATTTTAGGTAAAGGTCGCACTAAAATTATGTGTAAAAATTAAGCCGCTAAAATTAAAATATCGCAGACATTAGTGCAATATTACAAATATGACGACTTCGCGAAGACGTCTGGGACGTATTCTAACTGTGGTGAGGGCCTGTACCGAGACACAGTTAGATTATTCTAACTAGATATTATATGAAAGCCATAGAACCAATCGTTCAAAAGTTATGACCAAAGATAAAGTTTTTCAAAAGTAGGTCAAACAAGTTAATTCAAAGAATCTTAGTTAGAATAATCTAACTGTGTCTCGGTACAGGCCCTCACCACAGTTAGAATACGTCCCATATACTTGCAATGTTGCAAATCGGAGCGGATCCGCTCCGAAACGATTTTGAAGAATATAAAATGATTTGCACTGGGAATAACTACCAAAATAATCAAAACAAACCTTCTTGAGATTGCTTATGCCTTTTATCCCAAAAAATAATCCATATAAATACGAAAATCCAATTAATTTTCTCAACGTTTTTCTCTCGATTCAAATTACCGTCCATGTTTACATTCGGAACTCTCTAGATTGTTCCAAGTAAATGCACTATGCGAGTTATCGCCCGTGTTTCTTTCTGCTACATTACGAATACACGGAACGAATTCTATCGTTAAACCGGGTCCGTAGGACAATATCATTTTAACGATAGAACATTCTATCTATATAATATCCTATGTGCATTTCTTATAATATTAATACCTTTCCTTTGGGTATGAACAATTATGACCCTGTGACATTGACCTACTTCTGAAAAAACAAAAACTTAAACCTTGTCAACAACTTTTGAATGCTTTATGCTAGAGCGTTCATATTTATTTTGAGCAGAGGAGAAGTTTTACTCGTTTTCGCATATCAGCTCACAGACTTAATGTTGAAAGGGGTCGATATATAGGCATTCCTAGAGAAGAAAGACACTGCAATAGATGCAATGACAAAACAGTTGATGATGAGAAACATTTTCTCCTTTCATGTAATCACATTAAGGATGAAAGAAAAGTCTTGTATGAAATAATAAACAAATCCTGTAAGAATTTCCACAACTTGGACAGTGATAATAAGTTAAATTGGCTCATGACTAATGAGGATGTGCAAATACTGATTCAAGTCAGTAAAATGATTATGAGAGCTGAAGTATGAAAAGTATTAGAAAACCTATGAAATTTCTTTTTTTTTTTTTTTTTTTTTTTCTTTGTAAATTAAATGTGTCCCCCCATTACCTTCTAAAATGTACAGAATCAGTCAGAATAGGTGTCTTGGATACTTAGAGTACGGGTTTGCCAGTATAATCGACTGTGCAGAGGCATCGTCCCCTGGTGCCCTCTGTGTCCAAGTTACCTTTTCTTACATTAATTGTATGTTACCTTCAAGTTCACAGATTTACATTTATACATGATAGTACCATTTGTTTATATATATATACATATATTTGTATGTAAATTATTATTTTTGTATGCATGGATATGTGTAACAACAAATGTATGTTTGTTTATGTGGGTATGCATATATTCAGATTAGAATGTTAAATATCTATTGAACTAGAGATTAGTTTGCATCAAGTTTATAATTATATGCTAAGTACTTATTAATTGAAAATACTATTTCTGATAATACTAATTTTTTTTTTTTGAATGACGTCTTCAATACTTAGGGTACAGGTTTGCCAGTCTGGCTGTGTAGAGGTATCATCCCCTAGTGCCCTTTGTATTCAAGATGCACTAGTTATATGTCAGAGTAATGCCATTACTACAAGAATTTTTTTTTTTAATTACCTTATATCTATCTTTTTTATTTAATTGTGTTTTCTTTTTATCATCCTATGGTTTTCTATGCTTTTGATCCAGTGTGGTGATGCACTTCTCAATGTCAAACCTAATCACTATAGTCATGTTACATTATACATCTATAATATAGAATTGTAATCAATGTTATTATTATATTGTAATAATTTGTTCATGCCCCCCGTGGGCCCTTGATCGGTGAATAAACATATACATATTTCACAAATAAATGCATTTCTTGTGACAAATCCTTCCTTGAACTTGATCAACTTTGATCATTTGACCTTGACCTTGATGTTTGACTTACTTTACACAAAAATTAACCTTTGTTATATTTTCAACAATTGGTACTAGGGCTTTCATATTTTGCAATTACATCACCTGAGACAAGACCTTTGTTTGGGTAACAACATTGATTTATATATCTCTTGACCATGGAGTTTGAATTGCATTTGAGAAACTACAACTTTCACCATCAGCTGACATTCAGGGGTATCAGTGTTTCACAAACGCTTCTTGTTACTGCTTGCTTTCCAGCCATCTCTCTTACATAAAGGCAGTTTACTGAGAAAGCCTGCTGCAGTTTATTTGACTCACACAGGCCTCAGTTTGCTTGTCTGCTGTTTTTCGACATTCAAATTAAATGGCATTTATTTTTTTTTTTTGGTTAATGGTATAATATACTTGTTGATTTTTATCATTCCAGGTAAGGGTTTAAAATTTCATTTTTTGACAATATGTATAATTTACACCCTTAAAAAAGATCTTTAATGTTCTGATGATCGAGGTCATGACCTGTCTCTGGGATTACGTAATTCTTTTCCTCAGACAGTTTTATTACATGTACAGAAATAATAACTTTAGAGCATAAATAAGTAGGGACAAGTTTAAAATACTATATATTTTAGTTCTCCCCCGACTCAGGATGAAGGTAGGCATGAGACCCCCCCCCCCCCAAAAAAAAAAAAAAATTAAAAAAGAGATGAATGCAGAACTTTTAAGATCTATTTTTAGGTATGCATAGAAATTGTGTTTCTTGCACTGGAGGTTAAAATAGTTTAGAGTCGGGCCATTTATAGTCAGTCGTTCGGGAGAGGGCAACAGAACATTTTTTTAAAGATGGCCTAAATAATACTTTTTTAAAATATTAAATCATGGATTTAGTTTTTAATCAACCAATGGCGATGTACAGAGAGAAAAAAAAGTGAAATCTGACTTACGAATTCAAAAAATTTCTTCGTTTGCTATAGTATTTTCTATACAGGGCAGTAATTCAAGATATACTTGACAATTATTTTATTAAGTTTCATTTTAGTGCTTCAGTACTGAATTTTGATTAAAGAATTTCTATGACTTTTTTCCCAATGTGATGCATGTACCTACGAAAACGGCCAACTTTTGTCAAATTAAAAAGGTGCAATTCTCGGAAAAACGTCAGTCAGAAAATATCTTCAGTTTTGGGGTTAAAAAGCTTAGAGATTAGTACTTCACTAGTTTTAGTGTTTTAGAGCTGGACCAGAATTATAACATTGAATGTTAATGCTTTGTGGATAAGGTAACCCAAACTATGTATCAAAAACAAAGAAAATGTCGAGAAAATGAGAGCTCATAGAAGATGCCAGTGATGTCGAAGATTTTATACACCAACACTTCATCATCATATGTTCTAACTAATAGCCCGAAAAAACTTCTTTACAAGTTTTGAATTGAAATGAATTTGATTTTTTGTATATTTTATTTATGTGTGACTTTTACCTGATTACACGGTCAATTTTTTTTGCCCGGTGTAAATGTTAACCGTCATCGAATTTTGTCATTTCTATGCACAGGCACCTGACGTTACTTATTTTTCTTTTAATAAAAAAAAATATACACATACCGAATAATAAAGAAAAATAAGTAACGTCAGGTGCCTGTGTTTCTATGCTTTTATTGGCATTTGTAGTCGTGATCTTAGACACTTACTAAGGGTTTTATGTCTACATATACACATTTCATTGTTGTCTGTATTTACTTGACAATGATTTTTAGGCTTTATAAATAGCGCTTTCAAGTTTTGAAGGTACCCCAGACGATAACACGATCTACTTACAATTATTTACATATTTATTTTGTAGGGCATTTATATGGAATATTTAGTTTATGTGCATGTGGAAAAAAGGATAATTAATAGAGGTTTTTAAGAGATCAATTTGCAAACACGTATTTAACTATATCTGTGAATTAATTTTGTTTCTAAAGAGGTTTTTAAAACCCCATTCGTACATATACATTAAGAAACGTGTTTAAAAAGGAATTACGGATATTTTAAAAAATATATAATTCTGCATGGCTACAAATTGAAAATCAGATCACCCTCTCCTGGTAAACAGAGAAATGCATGCATAAAATCTGAGATATATACATGTTTAATATGACATAACATTTTAGATTAGGTAGCTTACACTTCTGTATCTAGGTAAAACATGCCACACCGATCTTACTTACGGAGGTCCATTACACCATTTTTTGATGACGTATAATACAAAAAAAATCCATTGTTTCGTCCGTTTTAGAGTTTCAGGGTTTTGAATCCTAGCATGTTAAACATGTCCACAGTCAACTAGCAACATTTTCACTCAAAGCAGAAAGGAGAAACTCCGGAAAACAATTATCAACCATAAACTATCCATTCTCGAGATTTACGATTCTTTTTCCGTATAGGATATAGAGAGGAGTGCACTTGTGACCTTTCGCTAATCTTTTGGTGATATTATATAAAACAACCCTTTGATGAGGTCGATCCATAGATATATCGACTTCACAGAAAAGCATATCGACCTCGCACTTAGTGCTCGGTCGATATGCTTTTCTGTGAAGTCGATATATCTATGGATTGACCGAATTAAAGGTCTACATTTGTTATATTATTTTTTACATAGATTAAAAAAACAAAATAATGGGAACAAAGCACAATTTTTCTCTCTTTAACACTTAGAGACTAGAGATCAAAATAAATTAAGCTGTTTAATGTTAATGTGTTTCTTTATAGAAATTTGGAAGATTTACTTATTCAAAATACGTATTTGATTATATGTTTTGTATCACAACACCCAAAGAAAATTTACCTATTAAACCAGCCACTATCAAAGGAATAAATGGGGGAAAAAGCACATAGAGCTCTTCTCCTCAACACCCCCCCCCCATTCGTACAAATTTCTGGTCTGATCCGGGCTTACTTATCTAGACAAAATTATTTTTTATGCTTGAGATTTAAAAAAAATTGCAAGTGATATTTAGGAGAGTAAATGTTTTGAAATTATTATAAATAAATGAAAAAACAAAATTCGAGATTCCTTTTACATTATATATCCTACTGAAAGAAATTGAATAATGCCGAAAAAGCAGTACGTTTTCTGATAGTTTTTCTGATATCAAAGATTTTTTTTTCTTTTAAAATTAGTTTTCTTTGAATTGCGTAAAATTGAAATCAGTGTATCTTTTGAACTCTAATGATCAATAAATACAAGAATTTTGGATGAGGAACTCAGTTCCAGGTATTTTAAATTTTCCTGTGATCGACTGTCGTTTGATTTTAAACTGATCAGTCTCAGGGTATTTAAAATAAGATAATATGATTGTACATGTCACCCAAAGTCACGTGGTCAGATCGACACTCTCCCAGAGCAAACATCGTAAATATCTGACCGGGTCGGGAAACTGCGGTGGGTATAAAAATGCAGAGGTACACATTTCAGCTATCAGTCGGTAATCGGATTTCGGATATGATGGATGCGTCAAAGGAAAACAAACAGGTGAACGGTGAAAAAGATACCCCGGTAAAAAAGCCCCAGGTCAACGGAATCTCGGACCCCTCTGACATTAAAAAAGACCATGTCCGAAATATTGCGGAAAGAATTGAACAGAATATAAAGGAACTTGATAAGCAGAGCTTGGCGGATAGAAAACCGCTTTACTCTGCGGAGGAAGAAAAGAAACTCTTGGACAGATATATAAATTTTCCCAAAGAGAAAAAAGATGTGTATTATAGATTCTTTAAAAGTGCAGACACATACAATTTAGGATTTTTGACAATTTATCAGTTTGCAGAAGCAGTGCGGAAACGTGGATTCAATGGGAAAGATTCAGAAATTGCGGTAAATAAAAATTGTCTTCATTTTTTTCCTGTTCTGTTTAAACTGCTACATTTGTGTAATTTTCAGTGTTGACAAACTGTCAACGCTAATGTTACAAAAAGTCCATATCTTGACATAAGGTCGGGGATTTAAAAATCTCGCCTCTTTTCAACAGACAGTACGTATACTTTATATAGACTTCATTAAAAAATGCCTCCATTCTGTAAGAAAGAAATTTAAATTCCTATCTGGCATTGTTAGGAGGTTTTTTGTCAATATGACTGAAGTCATAATAATCCAATTAAAGAACAATGTAGTCTAATCACCCTAGCACCAACTTTATGCGGATTTAGCTAAGTCAGGTCAGTTTTGCAATAAGAATTTAACTTTTTAAAATTTGAAATAAATAATGCAGCCTGCGGGAAAGATCAGGATATGCGAGCGATTGATTTTCTCTCCTAGATCGATAACGTTTAAATGCCATTGTTAGAAGGACAATCAATATGGATACACAACATTCCAGTCGCACTAAATGGATCAAAAAGAGACACTTTAAAGAAGCTGCAAGATTTAGGAATGTTTCAAATAGAAAAGGCGTCGGAACCGGGAAGGGGGGAGGCTGAGGGGGATGGAGGTCACCCTCAACTTTTTTCGTAAAGGTAGACAAAATACAGGCATTGAAAATTGGGGCTTATCTTTTTTAGGGTACTTTCAATTAGCCCCGCCCCACCTTTTTCAATTTGCTTCCAACGCCTATGAATAACTTCCAGAATTTCTTCTTTTTTTTTAAATTTCTATGCTCTAGTTTTACTCAATTCAGGACAAAAATCCAGTTCTGTATAATATCAAATAAATCTTTGAATAAATAAAAATTAAATTTGGAATCCCAATACCAGTTTGTTTAATTTTTCTCTTTTGTTGACAAATTGGACAGATTCTAAAGTCGGCCAGATCTTGTATAGATTGTTCCATTCTTGGCAACCTTGCTACTGTATAATACAATAATTTTTGTGGTGTCGATGATTATTTTTCACCTCCAAATGTATTTATAGAAATGGTTAAATAGCTTAAAAGATTCACCTTTATTTAGAAATGTCTTAACAAAAAACCTGCTTAACATGCCAAACAAAATATTTAGATTGTATATTGCCGTTCATCCAGAGGGCAAAAAATCATTAACACGAAATACATGTTATACGGTCTTCTAAATTATAACCGGAAACCATTTTGTACTGACAAATTCACTATAAATAAAAAAAGACCCCCCGATAGATCAAACGCATTGACAGGATAAGAAAAGGTACAAAAATAGTGTAAATTCATTGTATTATTTTCCATACCTTATATTTTCTATGTTTATTTTGTTAAGGAGCATAAAAATGTCAAAGAAGAAAATGTACCATTACCCATTAGCTATAAAAATATTAATATATTTTGACAATTACTTTTCACAGTCAAATTCTATACACTACATATTTATATGATTACCAACAGTCCATCTAAATGGCTTTACCCGCATCTAAAGGGGTGTAATAGAAAGAGAATTGCAGCGCGGCTGCTATGAACTTAAAAAAATACCTAGATATAATTGTAATGCCAAATAATTAATTTTTATCAAAGGACGCCATCTGTTATATTTTTACCATAAAAATAGCTAAATACCGATATTTTTTTCATACAATTTTTTAAAACCGAAATGGAAAGAATTACAATCTTTTGTTTAAAAAATATTATAGAACTTCTTTCATGATAAAAGTCCTTCAAAATAAATTCCTAGCCTAACACCGCCCCTCCCTCCCCTCCTTGAAGTGAAATTTATTGCGTTCCGTTAAGTGGGGCGTTTGATTCCTAAAGCGTTTTACTGATAATCACCTAATAAACAAAACCGTAAATGGGAAGACACTTGACCCCACATTGTGTCCGATCTGTTCAATTCAAACACACGCCTAAAGGAGTATAATTTTATTATGTTCTGCTCGTCTGTTTGCTTTATAAACCGTAATTTTAGATGGAAAGCCCTAAAATGTTACTTTGATGTTTGATTTTACATTTCCCTTCGAAATAACTTTTTGAAAAGTGGAGTGAAGGCCATTAAAACTTAAGTTAATCAATTTTTTGTTCTTATAAAAAATATCGTAGGGTTTTTAAAAGAGGAATGAATAGCAGTAAATTTAGGCATACTCTAAAACCTGGCCTGGCCCCTTTGGCCTGGCCTGGCCTCTAAGTTGGCCTGGCCTCTATTTTGGCCTCTAATTTGGCTTCAAACCAAATTTTGGCCTGGCCTCAAAAGCTGGCCTGGCCTCAGATTTGGCCTCTGTAAAAATTTTTGGCCTCAATTTTGGCCTCACTCAAAAATAATTTCTTTTTCAGAATTTGATTGATTTTATTGATTTTTTTATTGGTTTCATTTTTTCAAAGATTAAGCAGGTAAATAATATATTTCTGTTGATATGTAGATGTGAATATTAAAATAATAATACACTACCACCAATATGATTTATTTTATTGATTTTCTATTGATCAGTTGCAATTCTTAAGACTTTCCATAGTAGGATTGAGGATTTTACAAAGTAAAACATTTAGAAACATCAATTTAAATCATCAAGAAAACAAAGAAATGCAGATGGGTAGTAATTACCTAAGACCTAAAAAGAATTTTAAATTTGCTATTTCAAGTATCACTTGTTACATGTTTTATAAACTCTTTATTCAGAATAAAAAAATCTTTTTGATAATGTGGACTACTCTTACAAACTGTTAGAAAAAGTGTCAATACTATGATATGCAAGTAATTGGCCACATTTTATATAATAGGGTTCTAATGGTCTGGTTGATAGGATGCAAATGTTTTTTATCACAAATGTTAATAAACCATCATCAAACTCAACTTTTGTTTTGATAATTGTAGATAGTGAAACTTGTAGTAGGAAATTCTTTACAAATAATGGATGGCTTAACAGCCTATGCACATATATATTTCATTGCTGATTAACTTCAACCTTATCTCCTGTCGAGAGCCATGCTGCAGAATTTTTTGTCATTAGATATCCAATTACAGTGTTTCCGCACAGGAACAGAAAGTTATAAATTATCTGATAATGTCATTTATATTAGTTTTTTTTAAATACAAACTGTTCCGAGATTAAGTACATGTGAGTTTTTAACAGAGTAATCAAATCAGTATAATATAAATATTTTGGTATCTGCATAGGTATAAGGTAGTTTATATATTTTTATTTAAAAATTCTTTGGTGCCTGTATTCAAATATCTCATTTAAGATGATGCAGGCATAACAATAACACAGTTAACACTCTACAGTGTGTGAAGGCGATTTTTCAAAGCTATTAATGACATTTGACATGATTTAGAGATTTTTTCAATGTGCACAATTTGGAATCTGATACTTTTTTTTCTAAATAATTAAGCAAGAGTGTCGGTAATGTCAGTATGAGATACCTGTCATCAAATCATAAAATAAAATAAGTGTACACCGATTGATTGATAATCAATAAAATAAATCATACTGGTGGTAGTACATGATTATTTTCAATGTTAACATTTACATATCAACAGAAATATGTTATTTATCTGCTTTGTTTTTTTTTAAAAACTAAAACTAATTTTAAAAAATCAATAAAATCAATTCTGAAAAGAAATAATTTAGATTGATGTTTCTAAATGTTTTACCGGTACTTTGCAAAATCCTCAATCCTACTAAGGAAAGTCTTAAGAATTGCAACTGATCAATAGAAAATCAATAAAATAAATCATATTGGTGGTAGTGTATTGTTATTTTAATATTCACATCTACATATCAACAGAAATATATTATTTACCTGCTTAATCTTTGAAAAAATGAAACCAATAAAAAATCAATAAAATCAATCAAATTCTGAAAAAGAAATTATTTTTGAGTGAGGCCAAAAATTTTTACAGAGGCCAAATCTGAGGCCAGGCCAACTTTTGAGGCCAGGCCAAAATTTGGTTTGAAGCCAAATTAGAGGCCAAAATAGACGCCAGGCCAACTTAGAGGCCAGGCCAGGCCAAAGGGACCAGGCCAGGTTTTAGAGTATGCCGTAAATTTATCTCAAAACGCTTTACGTTATTGGGTGTGTACGGTTGTATTTTGTATATGATGAAGTTACATAATTATGTAAGAAAGACTTCCCGATTTGGGAAATTCAAGCTGCTGGAATGCTTTAATTTGACGTGCCCTTGGTTTTAATTACTTTTCGTGATAAGGGTTTAGTGTTTCAGCGTATTACACCGACATTATGCATTTAGTTAACTGAGCTGTTCCTGAATACAGTCTGCTTTGTAAGAATGGTATTAATAAATTATTTTTCTCCGTATCTCCAAAAAACGTCGTTTATTATGTTTATTCCTACTTGTAGTTCTCTAGCTAAATATAGGAATTGTAAACCCAAATTATCATGAAATACAATTCCTATTCTGATTTTTGACTTGAATTTTCAAAAGATGTACTCAGATTTAGAGGAGAGAAAAAAGAAAAGAAAACCGATATTTTTACTGAAATTGGACAAAGGATTGGTCCCATTGAATCGAAATTCTCCAGTGTCCTAGATATGATAATATTTCACTTTATATTAGTCTATATTCTTCCGGGGATCATAAACGGACAACTCTGTGTCAATATTGTTTGCCGAGGAATAAATCAAACCCCCTGTCCTATCCAACACGTTACAATTCATTTGTCTCGACGCGAGGAGTCGTTTTCAAGATGGAGTATGACAAGGCGGGTGTTGGCTGTAAAACGTTTTTTTTAATCGATTAAAGTTTATCGAACACCTATCACCTCCCACACAATGTCCCATACGCGGGAATTCCATAATGTGCAAGCTCATGAAAATTCGACCACATCTTTATGAATTCAATATGGTCTTCAATTTAGGTTCATCTGAGCTGAAAGTTAAATTCAGTTGAGATTTTTTGGTTTGCCGCCGGTTTGTCCGTCTAGCTATTTGTCCATATTCGAATGTCTGAAAGGTTTTCACACAAATAGAGGAAGTCGAAAATTTTAAGCTTTAATACATTTGTTTTTGTCTCCACTCTCCAGAAACCGAACCAATTTCAAGTAAAATCGCACTGGGTGTTACCCATGCGTTGATGCCAATGTTCTCTTGTTCTCATGAACATAGATATTAATTGTACAAATACCCCCCTCCCAAAATAAATAAATAAATTAATTAATAAATTAATAAATAAAATGAATGAACAAATAAATAAATAAATATCCTTGCCGAAATAAATTATGTCCCATATTTTTGTGGTCTTCGATTAAAAATTTCACACTTAATTTCGTGGTGAAACAAGTGACAAATTTGCTACTCTGCATGCATACATACTATATAGAGTTTTCTAATATGTTTTCTATTGAAGGTTTATGCAATTCTAATAAAAACATGTACATGTAGGTACATGCAAACATAAAAAACCATTTCTCCTTGAAATCTGTTTGTAGAAAAAAACACTCAAAGTGGCGAGGGAAATGAAAAGTTACTTGGTAGATAGGATAAAAATTGATTTATTGCTTGAACAAACATTATTGGCAGGGACTTGACCGTTTAGATTCCCCTCAAGGCATACAGATCTGAGGTATAATACCAAAATGCAATGTAGCCAAGAGACAAGTGAATTCAAATTTCCAAAATGGCCAAGGGAATACTGACGACGGTTTTTTGACGAATTAGCTTATATGTCATTTAATAATTCACAATAGATACAGATTGTGTTTTCGCTGTCATGCACTAGTCTTTTCAAAACGTCATCGTCATATCATTTTGAAAATTTGTGAAACTTGAGGAAAAACAAAATTTTAGATCAATTATCGCACACTCTTCTGAATGACGAACTGAAGTTATATATTTCTTATTTGAAGAAGATCCCCAAGTTTCCGTTTAGGACACACGTAATGCTTTGTATGCAAGAATAAAAGAAATGTTTGTACTATTGTACAAATATATGATACATGACTTTAACTGCATCCAGAGCAATAATACAACGAGAGCGGCGGGCCACAATTCTTTTAATTTTCTTCTTTATTTCACTTATCTAGATAGATAAATAAAACATTTTCTAATTACTAAGAAATTTATACAAATGTATACACTTTACAGCAAAAATGCCTATTTTGGTTTTAGTTAGATTTTACATTGATTAGAATGTGTTATAAATATGAAAATGATTACCCTTTTCTTACATTTGATTCTCAATTTTATATATTGTTGATACAGACGATGTTTGTGGACCTTGATTCTAACATGGACTGTGAGGTGACTCTAGAGGAATACATGGACGAAATGTCAAAGAAAGACGCCAAGGCCAGAACGTAAGTTGTCCTCTGGTAAATGTCAAAGAAAGACGCCAAGGCCAGAACGTAAGTTTCCTTTGGTAAATTTCAAGGAAAGACGCCAAGGCAAGAACGTAAGTGTCTTTTGGTAAATTTCAAAGAAAGACGCCAAGGCCAGAACGTAAGTGTCTTTTCATTGGCAAATTTCAAAGAAAGACGCCAAGGCCAGAACGTAAGTGTCCTTTGGTAAATTTCAAAGAAAGACGCCAAGGCCAGAACGTAAGTGTCCTCTGGGAAATGTCGAAGAAAGAAGCCAAGGCTAGAACGTAAGTGTCCTCTGGTAAATGTCGATGAAAAACGCCAAAGCCAGAACGTAAGTGTCACGTGGTAAATGTCAAAGAAAGACACAAGGCCCAGAACGTAAGTGTCCTCTGGTAAATGTCGAAGAAAGACGCCAAGACCAGAACGTAAGTGTCTGTTGGTAAATTTCAAAGAAAGACGCCAAGGTCAGAATGTAAATTTCCTGGGGTAAATATCAAAGAAAGACGCCAAGGCCAGAACGTAACTGTCCTCTTGTAATTGTAAAAAAAAAGACTCCAAGGCCGGAACGTAAGTGTCTTCGGGTAAATGTCAAAGAAAGATGCCAAGGCCAGAACGTAAGTGTCCTCCGGAAATTGTCAAAGAAAGACGCCAAGGCCAGAACGTAAGTGTCCTCTGGTAAATGTCAAAGAAAGATGCCAAGGCCAGAACGTAAGTTTCCTCGGGTCAGAGAAAGATGCCAAGGCCACGGTGTAAGTGTCGCCTTGCAAAATTTTCCAAGAAGTATCCCCTGGCAAATGTTGAAAAAGAATTTACTACATATGTAGTCCCCTGTCAGATGTTTAAAGAAAGACGAAAAGGACACAACGAGAATGTCTCTTGGTTAATGTTCAAAAGAAGATGCCAACTTTTGAGGCAACAACGCAAATGATCTTTAAAGTAAATAAAGTGTTTCTTGGCAGATGTTTAAAGATCGACGCCAAGGGCAGAATGTGTACATGTCCAAAAGAAAGACCCAAAGGCCACATGCAACTTAAGTGTCCCATGGTAAATCAAGACCTAAAGGCCACTTCTGAAGTGTCCGCAGGCAAAATATTCAGTTAAAGACCCAAAGGCCATAACTAAATTCCCCATGCAAATGTTCAGTTAAAGACCTAAAGGCCACAACTTCAGTGTCTACAAGCAAAGAGCTAAATCCACGAATGTGCTAAATCGGCCTAATGATTTTAGGAAAAATAAAGTGAGGGGAAGAAGAAAATTATTTACGGAAATATTATCCTTAGGTATCAAACTTGAATAGTTTACGCCAAAATTTTCATTTGATGACGTCATATTTGTGCAGAAAACGTCTAAACACGTGAACTTTGCCACTTTTTACCAAAATTTAGCATTTTTTCGTCTTTGATTCAAATTTTTGCTGTGGCCACACCCTCTGAACAAAATAAAATTCACACCATTAAAAAGAAAATTAAAAAATGAACAAATAGAGTGTTATCTTACTTTGTTCGAGGGGTGTGGCCACATCGAAATATTTAATTTTCGTTCGATTTAAATCTCTTCGCACCGACCACCAAAGTGGAAACAATGGGGGTTTACCCAAATTAATTAAAAAGAAACAAGATTATATGTTGCTGTTGTAAATTTTAATTAGTTTTTAAATGCAAATATACCATTTATTATAAGTTATTTTGTGTTGTGGCGCAAAAAAGTACGAAAGTCTCTCGGAGTCTCTATGACTGCAAGAAGATGCAATAATTATAATGGTGACTCATTCCTAACCCAAGACTTTTTAGTCAATCGTAGCTGATCTAGGTTTACATTATCATTGGTTATGCTGAAATATTTTTAAAAAATGGATACTCTTTCCCCCAAATCTTATTTATTTTACAAACAATGTATCGATGTTTTATCTCCCGATCTCGTCTCCATGGTCACTATGTAATCAAAGGGAGATCACCCGAGAAACTTTATTGTCACCAAGTCGGAATTAATCTTAGAATATAATTTAACATAAACAACTAAATTGGTAGCAACTACCAGGATGTATATATAAACTGAAAATTATTGCTTTACCCCTTTTACAAAACACCAATTGTGTATGTCGAGAAGTCTGCATCGACTGGCTTTCATAAATGATAAAAAATGATATCAACACTTTCCCCTACGTTTGGCTGAGTCAAGATACAAGCGCACAAATTAAAGCCACAGGCCCTATCCGAAACCAACATGCACTTCAGAAAGTAGTCTGTTTGCATTTCAAGAAGACCGCTTCATTTTAAAAAGTTTATTATTAAAAATATTTTCCGATCCGAGAGTTTGTATGACATATAACATATGTTGGCCTAGCGAAGTATTGAACCTAGAAAATTCGAGTTGAAAATTCAAATAGATCTATTGAAATAAACAATTTGCGAGAATATATTGATTTTTGATCGCCTGTAATTTTTGTGATGGGCCTTTATTAGACTTATTCAATGTACATTGTAAAAACGAATAACTTACTACATGTACAGAGATAGTGACAGCCCTTTATGGTTGCAGGTAATTCCAGTCTCGCCTTTATGCCACATAAAAAAAAGTCAAAGGGAGGCTACTTGTTTATTATGTTCCCCAAACGAAGTTGGGGAACATATTGTTTTTACTCTGTTTCTTATTATTATTAGGGCTTTTCGACTTTTGTCGAAAAGACCTATTGTTTTCGTCTTGTTTATTATTATTATTATTATTATACTTAGCAATTCTTTTGCTCAGATTTTCAGGAGTACCTTTAAAAGTAGGTATTTTATTTTATAACTATTAGATAGCATATATAAAAATGTCCTGTCTGTAATGTTTTATACTTCCGGTCTTGTCACTTCCGGTTTCTACAAAGGGAAAACTGAAATCTCTAAAGAAGCCAAAAACATTTTTAATTTCAGTGTCTAGACTCCCAAATTTAAGATATGAATTCTAGAGACCTAATCCTATAAAAAAGTGCGCGTATGGGATTTTTGACCACAAATACTTTTCGAGATATAAGACTTCAAACATTGAAGAAGGGGGGAGGAAATTTTTGAAAGTCAAAATAACGTTACAAAAATTATTTTGAGGATGTAAATATGTTTAAACTAATTAGTAGGACATATCCTGTAAGTTTCATATCAATCAGACCTGAACTTCCGGTTTTATGGGTCTTTTAATTTTTATGTTAAAATGAAATCAGTTATGTAACAGTATCTCTAAAAGTAATTAAGATTTTCTTGTAATATTATGTATACAGAATGACTCTGACACTGTTCTGACTTCATACGATTATGAAATCAAACTTTGGGAAAATAAGGGATTTCTAGGGGCCAACATTGAAAACAGACCTTTGCCTGTAACTTTTTTATTTCTCAATGAATTTTCAAACAGTTTTCGGAATTGAGTTTAGCATAAAGAGAACAATCTAAAAAATATGGTCCGTGGGGTCACTTTTTGACCCCTTATAGGAGTTATAGAGACCTGAAATATTGTATTTTTAAGTCTTTTCAAAAATGATGATGTAAGAGTTATCTCTCTTTGTTGACCTGTTTAGAGTCTAACATGCTCTCTACGATTTAATTTTGGTATGCACATAAAGAGTACTTCCGGTTTTATGAGTCCCTTAAAATTGCCTATGGAGATTTCTATGTTAAATTCGAAATCATGATTGTTCCATCATCTCAAAAGGTAGGCAAACAATTCTCGTGAAATTTGATATGAATATTGACTCCAGCATTGTCTCCAGGTGGTAAGGTCATGAAAATAAAAATCCCTAAAATAGAAAGGATTTTAGGGGTCAGTACAGAAAACGGCTTTTCCTCTGTAACATTTTTAATTCTCAACCAATCTTCAAACTAATTTTGGTATGAGGTCAAGCATAAGGTGTACAGTTTAAAGATTATGGGCCGTGGGGTCACTTTTTGACCCCTTATAGGAATTTTAGTAGATTGAAAAACAGCACATTTTCGCTTTTGTTTAATAACCACGAAAGAGTTATAACTCTTTGTGTAGACACTGATGTACAAATAGAATTGTTATGTTTCCAATTAAATATTGATCTAAAAAGAACTTTCGCAATATTGTATTATAAGATTTTTTTCATTATAAGATATTGATTTTTCTTGTAAGATTCATTATTTTAAGAGGTCGAAAAGCCCTCCGTTTTTGTTGAACGACAAAAAGATCTAGTTATTATTATTATTTTTCTTCTTCTTCCTGGGTACTTTTTTGTCCGGGAATGATCTCGTAAACTATACATCCGACTAAGGTGAAATGTTTTTAGGGTCAGTAGACATGTTATGTAGATTTGTGGAATGAAGGTCATTTTGCGCGCACGTGCTTGCAAGAGCGTGCACGTGCAACATGTGAAATGACCGATTTAATTGATATAGGCGTAACTTTTAAAATTTTTGATGAAATGCTTTGAAACTTATAATATAAGGATATATTAGAAGCATAGACAATATGACATGGTCAAAATAGTAAGATCTCACGCGCATGCACGTGCGCTTCGTTCTGATTGGCTGAAACTAAAGTCTCAATATCTTTCTTGTTTTTTGACGAAATCCTTTGAAATTTTGAAAATAGCCATGCATTAGTATATACTACAACATGATATATAGCAATTATCATGAAAACACGTGCATGCACGTGCGCTGCAATCTGATTGGCTTAAACTTTAAATAGCTATAACTCCCTTGATTTTCAACCAAACAGGATGGGATTTGGAACATAGATAGATATACTGGACTACTACAAGAAAATATGGTCACCATGCACATGCACACACGTGCATGTACGTGCGCTGCAATCTGATTGGCTAGCTGAAACTTTAACAGCTATAACTCCCTTGGTTTTCAACCAAACGGGGTGAGATTCAGAACATAGATAGATGTAACGGACATCTACAAGAAGATATGGTTACCATGCTCATGTATGCACGTGCGTGCATGTGAAATGAGCAAAATCAAAAAAAACACTTGAATGAGCGTATCTTT